GAGGGACAGGCTGACTGCTGAAAGAGAAGGGCAAACACCCATCATTGAGCTGTATCCTGTGCCCGCTCTGGGCAGACTCTGTCTGATGCTTTACATGCATTACCTCTGCAAATCTTCCCAGCACCCTTATAATTCCTTTTACAAAGGAGGGAGCATACTGCCCAGGTAACTGCATGACAGCTGGAATACAATTCCATCTCTTTGTCCCTAATATTATTTACTGCATTTCTCCTTCCATGTCATTAAGAACCGAAACTTCAGGAACTAAGTCAGAGAAGGAAATGTGGGGTACTAGAGAATTCCCTACCATGTGACTCAGTGCCAGAGTGAGGTGGGAAGGCAGGAAAGGTTTCCTGACATCCAGAAGGCCTGTTCCACCTTGGAAAGATCTTTAGATGGAGATGATCCTAGGGACAGCTTTGTGGTCATGGGGAGTTGGTTCAAAAGAAGACTAACTTTGAGTGGCAGATACTGAAGGAGGTCTGGAAAGCCAGGTTAGGAAAAGGGAAGAAAGAAGAGTTGGCATTAGGGAGATAGAAGATTGTAGTACAAGTCTCCGAGTTCTAGATATAGACTTATGTTCAGATTTCTGGCATTGTTGCTCACTAGCTCTGTCACTTCGGGAAAGTGACTTCACTTCCCAAATCTTATCTGGAAGGTAGGAATGCTAAAACAGGGTTGAGGTGGGAATAAAAACCAATCATGTTTGTTATGGTAGTGCATGTCTGTAGTCCTAGCACTCGAGGCCAAGGCAGGAAGATCACCAAGAGTTCCAGGCCACCCTCCACTACATAGTGAGTTCAAGGCCCGCTCCGAATACATAGCAAGACCTTGTCTCCAAAAAAAAAAAAAAAAAACCACCAATAATGTTCTTAACACTAGTGCCTGGCACATGGCATATGCTTAATAAATGTTGTCCATTATTATTATCTTTCTTAGTGGCAGTAATGTTTATTCTATTATTAATTTTGGCCAGTGCTGTGACCATGGCATTAGTTGATGATTTTGAATAAATATGTGAATCCTGGGCACTTTACCAGGGGTTCTCTAGAAAGCTTGAAGCAGAGAGGTCCTGGCCAAGAAAATTATATAACTAGGAGTTGAGAGTTACGTGACTCTTTTCCCTAGTGCTACAAATTTAAGTAGAATTAGAAATTAATATGAATTCTAGGCCACAGTCTTTTAAACAGATCATTAAAAGAGGGATACAAAAGGGGCATTTTTTCAAATGTCAGTGCAAGTTGTCAGGTGTCTATCCTGCAGTGTGGATGAAGGACACCAGAGGTCCTTGGAACTTAGGTTGAAGACTCAGATGCCTAGGTTTCTGAGGCTTCCCTTATATGTGCCTATTCCCAGCCTCTCTGCTTCCTAGATTGGCTGGTGCCTTTAAAATCTATATGTAGGGCTGGGGATTTAGCTCAGTGGTTCCACCGCCTGTCTCACAAGCACAAGGACCCAAATTCGATCCCCGGTACCAAAAAATAAATAAAAATAAAATAAAATAAAATCTGTATGTATTTGGGGGAGGAAAAAAATATCTGTATGTATTTAAAGAGAAGGAGTCAGATACATTGAGTAATAATAGCAGCAAGTGTTTCCTGAAGACATTATTTTATGTTATGGTTTCACTTAATTCTAGCAGCCGTGCCAGATAGGACTAGTTCTGAGTTCCCCTTCAGATAGACAGAGAAAGTAGAGGTCAGTGAAGTGATCACACTTGCTTGGAGTCATGTGGCCAGTAAGTAGTGTAGAAGTGTTAGCCATATCTTTGCCTATTCTTTTTCATCATCCTGGGGTCTTATCTATGTCCACTTAGAGCCAGCTCCTTTACTTCTTTCTAGAACCTCACCATTAGCACATCACTCAGAACTCACTTTTGGGGTGTTTGAACCATCACCTTGGCTTACAAGTACGAGCCCTGTTGCCCAAGAGTGAGGACAAAGTTGGCCTTGGCCCTTGAACATTGTCTCTTTTCTCAAGTGTTGGTGGTGTTTGTTTCTCTCCTTTGCTTTGTCAGCATCATCTTGATCCTCTACTCTGTTTAAATAGTCACAAAAGTGATAAGGGTGTTGTTGTTTTGTGGGGTTTTTTTGATACCGGGATTGAACTCGGGTCCTTGTGCTGATAAGGTTTTTGAAGGGGATAGTCAGACTGTAACAGTCCCTTCTCAAGATCTCCTTTATGCATCCAGCCTAGGACCTTGTTCTTGGGAAGCAGCCTTCTAAATGAGGGTGGAAACTTGGTTTGTCACCCTGGCTCTCAGACATTGGGCTAGGACGAAGAGGTCAGGATCACCCACGCATGGAGAAGCCAGGGGGTGATGAGTCCTGGAGGAGGGCAACATTAGGCAGTCTATAAAAGACATCGGAGCTGGTTGTAGTGGTGCTTGTCCATAATCCCAGCACTGGGAAGCAGACAGGAGGATCACAAGCCCAGCCTGAACAACTTAGTGACTTTGGGAAACCCTGTCTCAAAAATGGAAATTAAAGCAAGGGCTGGGAATTAGCTCAGTGTGAGCTCAGGTCCTTGATTCAATCCCCAGTACCCCCCCCACCCACAAAAAGACATTGATGCTGGCATGATAATGGAATTCTATAATCCCACCTACTCAGGAAACTAAGGCAGGAGACTCCCATGTTTAAGGCCAGCCTGAACAACAAGGTGAGATCCTGTCTCAAAAAAGGCTGAGGATATAGCTCATTGGTAGAGTATTTGCCTGGCATGTGCAAGGCCTTTGGTTCAATCCCCAGTACCACAATAATGATAATAGTAAATTAAGTTTTGAAAGGGCTAGGTATTGTAGCTCAGTGTTATAGCACTTGCTAACATGCATGAGGCCCTGAGTTTGATCCCCAGTACTGAGGGAGGGGGGAAAAAGAAAAGACATTGAGCTATAACTTTAGCAGTACATAGGTTTAATTGAGACAACTTAGAGAAGATGAGGATGGGTTCCACACAAGATGACCCCCAAATCCGTGAAGCATTCTGTATTCTTTTTAAATTTTTGTCACTTTTTTAAAAAGAAGAATTTCAGTAGGAAGAAAAAAGTTGTTACAGGCTGAAACTTTGAATCTCAGTCTGAGTATGGAAAGGTGGATGAATATAGTGTAGAGAACCGCTACTAGATGGGGGTATCCTGAGCTGACTCTTTTTTTTTTTGGTACCGGGGATCGAACTCAGGTCCTTGCACTTTCGAGGCAGGTGCCAGAACCACTGAGCTGAATCTCCGGCCCCTGAACTGCCTCTTTATCTGGAGGACTAGGAAATGAAGGTGGTATTGGGCTGTGAGTTCTTGAACTTGGGTCTGTTGATGCTATTTGCCACTATAATCTCCTGGTTGGAAACATGACATTGTGGTATGATATAGGCAGATAAAGCCATTTCTATGTATGGGAGAGATTGGGGAGGGAGATTAGAGGCAGAAGCCAATTAAACGGCAGCAAGCCTTCATTATGTATGTCTTAAATGCCAGGCCCGCTCATTGACTCTCAGAGCAACACTGAATTGGGTGTTATAGTTACCTCTCAAATTTTTCAGGTAAAAGTGTTTAGCCAGGTGTGGTGGCACATTCCCATAATCTCAGCATTCTGGGAAGCTGAGGCAGGAGGATTACAAGTTGAAGTACAGCCTGGGCAACTTACACCTTATCTCTGAATTTTAAAAGGGCTGGAGGTGTAGCTCACTGTAGAAGTCCTGGGTTCAATTCCCAGTGCCATGCTTTTAAAAAAAAAAAATCAGTGTTCTGTGGAATTCGAGGTGACTTACCTGAGATCTGGCTAGTAAGTTAAAGAGTCTAGACCATCTGATTCTAGAGCCCAAGCTTTTAATTATTTTATTCTGTTGCCTTCTCCTGGAAGGAGGCTGCTTTGATGCGGGGAAAAGTAGTAGAGGGCACGATGATAAAGAAGGGAGGGGTCAGGTACAGCAAAAGAACAGGCCTGAGGGCAGCAGGAGGAATTTGGATTCCAGAGTGGCAAGTTTGGCTGATTGGAAATTACTGCAAGTTTTTGAGAATGGGAGTGATAGAACCAAGAAAAAATTGCTCTTGAAGAAGGTGTTTGATCCAGCTATGTAAGTATCAGGTTGAGAGTCATGAACAGAGAAAGGAGAGGAGCTTGGAGCTGAGGGAATAGACCAGGGCAACCCTCTTAGGTTTATGGTAATCCCCACCCAGACTCTACTGACATCCCTTCTTATCCCTCATAGCCATCGTCAGCCAGTGGCAACAGGAGTCCAAAGAGAAGGTGGTGTCCCTCTTGCTATCCCACCTGCCTCTGCTTCAGCCAGGTAACTCAGAGGCCAAGTCCGAGTACATGAGGCTGTTGCAGAAAGTACTGGCCTACTCAATTGAGAGCAATGCCTTCATCGAGGAAAGCCGCCAGCTGCTCTCCTATGCTCTCATCCACCCAGCCACCACGCTGGAGGACCGAAACGCATTGGCACTCTGGCTGAGCCACCTTGAAGAGCGATTGGCTAGCAGCTTCCGAACCCGAGCAGAGCCCTCTTACCACTCACGCCAGGGTTCTGATGAGTGGGGAGGCCCTGCAGAGCTGTGCCCTGGAGAGGCAGGGCCAGGCTGGCAGGACAAGCCACCCCGGGAAAATGGACATGTGCCCTTTCACTCATCCAGCTCGGTGCCACCAGCCATCAACAGTATTGGGAGCAGCGCAAACACAGGTAAGGGTATCCCAGGAGGCCATGCCTGCTTGAAAATGGTCAGTATGGGCTGTCTTCACTCACTTTGTGGCCTTGGGCACATTCTACAACCTCACTGGGCCTCAGCTTTATGAGGCAGTGCAGAGGTTGTGAATTAGTATTCTGAGAGCCAAATCTGACCTACAAACATCTTATTGAACCCACACTTTGGCTTCATTTTGTTGTGTTTTAAAATAAGTTTGGTGGTGACTGTGGTGGCACATGGCTGTGATCTCAGCTACTTAGGAGGCAGAGGTGGGAGGATCACAAGTTCAAGGCCAGCCTAAACAACATAGCAAGATCCTCTCTCTCAAAAGGAAGAAGGAAAAAAAAAACTTATAAATTTAGTACTACAAGGATTTTCCCTTAAAATCAGATTGCTGGCTTCTTGTGAAAAGCCCACAAAGTTCTGGTGACTCAAGGCTGTATTCTTAGCAGTAGCAATAAGAGGGAACTGAATATCAGCCACCCCTCTAAATTCTGCACAAGTGCCCCAACCTGCCTCTGACCCACCCAACCCTTTGAGATTCTGTGATACCTGCTTGGCCTCTGAGGGCCTTGCGTTTGTAACCCCTGGTGGAGGGAGGACACCACCATCTGAAGTTCCTTCCAGCTCACTCTGGGTCTTTGTATCTAGCCTTGTTTCTGAGGAATTGTTTGTAAATTAGTCTATATAAGATATAACTCATGCTGCAAGACATTATATGCTAGATACACTTTTATAAGCACTATTTCAGACCTCATTTAGTCTTTATCACAGTCATTTTATTAGTCCCACTTGACAGATAAGAACATCAAAGTGAAGCCATGTATTTAAGGTCACATATAAAACAAATGATAGAACTTTCCAAGGTTCAGACCCAAGTAGTCTGGTGCCAGAGCCTGCCTCTGACCGCTGTGCAGACCTACCAACAAAGTGGGCTTGAAAGGGCCCCAAAGGCTAGGTGAGCAGATGGAGTTAGTATCACAGTACCTTTTTGAAATGTTAGTTGAAATGAATGCTTAAAGGAGGTGGCATGATCTAAGTCAAGGTGAGGAGTTACAATTTAACCTCGGGAGTAGTCATCCCCCTTTGACAGGTGCTGTTAGAACAGGACAGGGCAGTGGCAGTGAAATGTCACGTGTTGAGGGAATAGCTGGGATCCAGCTGTCTGATACCTGGTGTGCATCTGTTACCTCTAAGACTGTCTTCCCCGTTAATATGGATATCCTGTCAGCTTACTGGTAAGAACCTGGGAAGATAGAGGAATAAGAGGATATTTCCAGGGAACTCCAGCAAGGTGTCTTGGATCCTCTTTTTCAGTCTGGGAGCATCACAGTTTCTGGGTCTGGATTGGGAGGATATATTAATGATAATCCTACCTAAAAATTATTGAAGACTTAATGGTGGCTAGGAGCTACTCTATATTTATAAACTCAGAACCTTGGCTGAATCTCAGAAAAGTCACCTGTTCAAGATGTTTTAGTCAGAATTTAAATCCAGGCACTCTGGCTCCAGAGCTCATAGTCTGAACTCCTGTGTTGTACTTCCTCCACTTAAAAGTGCCCCTCCTAGACATGCTCAGACCCCAAAGGGAGGGGTCACCTTTGCAAGGTGAGGCCCCCATACCTTCTGGGCTTCCAGGCTGGAGACCTCAACAGGTTTTTTTGTTGTTGTTTTTCCTTTTGGTTGTGCTGCGGATCAAACCTGTGGCCTTGCTTGTGCTACCACTAAGCTACAGCCCCAAGACCCCCAGCACCTTTAAAGAACTAACCTTGAACAATGTTGGATAGAGGCTTTGGACCAAAAAGCTGCCAAATTGCAGGGGATGGTGTATAAGTGTGGCTGAGATTGATTTACATGAATGATAGCTGTAGCAGATACTTATGCTTACCACGTGCCTATCACTATTCTAAGGGCTTTATGTGGAAATGGAGGCAGAAGGGTGAATGAAGTAATCTGGCCAAGAGCACTCTGTTCAGAGGTGGCAGAGTGAAAATTTGAACTCAGGTTTTAGGGCCATGGGCAAGGAATGGGGATAGGATGAAGCTTTTGGATTTCAGGCAATTACAGGAAACAGGAAACCATTAAAATATTTTTCGAGTGGGAAGCAAGGATTGGCCTGGAAAGGCAGGTTGGGTGGGTTTGAGGTGCTGCCAAGGACAGACTAGGGTTTCTTGGAGAGTGCAAGGCCCTAGATCTCCAGCCGGCGTTCCTGTTTTTATAATTCTCAGGCTGTGGCCAGCCTCCACCCCAGTGCAGGGCTAAGCAGGGCTCCTCAGGAACTACACGGTCATTCCAGTCAGGGTAATTTCCTGCCTTCTCAGCCTTGCCTACCTGCTTCTTGGCTGAGAAGGGAGGAAGGAGGAGGCCAGAAGCACCAGGACAGGCCCAAAGACCTGTATTGAGGGTTTTCCAACACCACCCTCAGCCCCACCCCCAGGACCCAGTGTGCCATCTTCTTCTAGGATTCCCAGCTGGAACAGAAGCCAGGGCTGGAGGAATCCAGAGACTTGGAGGATCCCTGAGTACCACACTCCAGAGGTCCTAGTCAGAGGCTGAAGATGGCCTTATGGTGGGCCAGTGTAGTACTGCCCTCTATCAGATGACTTCTTGGCTAGGAGCATCAGTATTATCACACATGGTGACAGCCGGTGCCATGGACCTGTACCAGACTGGCCCTCCTCCTTGGGCTGGTTGTCAGTGGAGTACTGGCAGGAACCCCAGCCTTTCCATCAGAAACAAGGACTGGGCTCTCAGTCTCTGCCTCCCACCTCCTTGTGGGAACTGGGGCAGAGGACTTCAGCTTCCTGGGCCTTGATGTCCTAACCTACTCAGGCATTCTTGGCTTTGTCTCCTTTTCTTCTAGGCCAGTGATGGCAAACCTTTTAGAGCTTTCAGTGATAACAAACAGCCTGCTGCAGCCCACATACCATAGGTTTGGCACCATTGCTTTAGGCTAACTTGGGGTGTTACTACATTCCCTGTATTGAGCTCCCAGGCCCCTTAGCACCTTGTCCTTTATGAAACTTGCTTGGAGCTGAACATGTTAGTGCACACCTGTAATCCCTGCACTCAGGAGGCTGATGCAGGAGGATTGCCATGAGTTCGAGCCCAGCCTGGACTACATAGTGAGTTCAAGGCCACCCTGAACTACCTAGAAAGACCCTGTTGTGTGCACCCCACCCCCCAAAAAAAACTTGGTAGGAAGGCTTCTGTGTGTCATGCCCTGCACCTGATGCTGGGGATGCAGAAATGATTGGACTGGATTGCCATCCTCCACAAGCCCACATTTCAGTTGAAGAGGCTGAAGTTCAGTGAAAACAGCAAATACCAGACTTGAGGCAGCTGCAGAGGTTATGTTTGAGTGAGGCGTGAAAGCAGAAAGAGCTGGTGGAGAAGGATGGGAGAGCAAAGACAGGGCAGAGAGCAAAGGCAGATGTAAAGGTCTGGGCACTCGTGGGAACCGGTCCTGTCTTGAAATGGATAAAAATCAAGTTGGAGAGGTTAGGGTATAGCTCAGTGGTAGCACATGCACAAATGCCAATCTCTGTGAGGAGTGGGGGGAGAATTGACTCCTCCTGCTTACCTCAGAAGTGGGGGAAGTTCAATGATAACAGTGGAGCTGGTTAGGAAGATCACCGAGGTGCATCTTGCCATATCTGCGAACATGCTGGGCATGCCACTCTTCTTGCTTATCATTCTCTATCACTATGTACTAGTCAACAATTCCAAAAAACAAGAATGAAAGTGGCACTTTCTCCACCCCGGGGCTCCAGGACATGGTCTGAGCTCAGATAAAGGGTGTGAGGGGCCTTCACACTTCACTTCATCCCTTCTGCCCATCACAGCATACAAAGCAGCTACACCTGGATTTTTCCAAATAATTCTTATTTCCTCAAAGTCTTCTTAACCTTATAGAACAAGAAGCTGCCATTGAATAGGGTCCAGTATGGAGGCTGCTTTATTTTCTACTCTCTCCCCTCTCAATACAAAAATACAAATATGTATTTTTTGTGATTCCCCCCGCCCCGCCAAAAAAAGAAATGGGATGGACAGCCAGGTACAATGGCACATGCCTGTAATCCCAGCATGTGGGAGGCTGAGGTAGAATTCTGAGTTTGAGGATAACCTGGGCTGCATAGTGAGACTGTCTAAAAAAAAAAATGGAGAGGGGAGAAATAAGTAGCCCAGTTTGTGCTCAGTGCAGAAAAAATGGACATGTGAGGCTCAATAACAGGGATGTTGAAGAAGCAGTTCACAAAGTTCTACAAGTACTAATGAAGCAACTCCCCTGGCCAGGCCCACACTGTATTTGCTGCAGATAAAATGTTTATTTAGGACAGGTCCTTGCTGTCACAGATCTTCTGTTCTAGCAAAAGGATACAACTAATAAGCAAGTAAACAAATATCTAAAAAGGATGATTTCAGGATAAGTGCTGTAAGAACGATAAGACTATTAGGACAGAGTTGAAGAGGCAGCGATTTAAGATTAAAGGTTCATTGTAGGCCTCAGAGGAGGTGACACTTGAGGTGAGACTTGAGGGATCCAACTGCTAAGAATAGGACAAAGTTGAGCATGGTGGCGCATGCCTATAATCATTGCACTTTGGGAGACTGAGGCAGGAGGACTGCAAGTTCAAGCTCAGCTCAGCCATCTTAGTGACTTAGTGAGATGAGACTCTGTCTCAGAAATATAAAATAAAAAAGGGCTAGGGATATAGCTCAGTGAAGGCTGAGTGCAGTCCTCAGTACAAGAATGGAAGAAAGGAAGGAAGGAAGGAAAAAAGGAAAGAAAAAAAGAGAGGAAGGAAAGAAATTAGGAAGACAAGAAAGCACAAGTGTGGGGCTAGGGTGGAGCTCAGTAGTAGAGCACCTGCCTACCATGCACAAGGCCCTGGATATTTCCAGTATAAGAAAGGAAGTAGTATATGTGGGAGCTCTTTGGACAAGCTTGAGTGTTCCAGGAAGATATGGGGTTTCAGGAGCAGTGATGGCTAGAAAAGTGTGAACCAAGGCCTACGTTGTAGGAGATGAAAGCTCAGAGATGAGCAGGGGTCAGGGCTTCCATGGTCTTTTAGGTATGTGAAAGCATTTGGATTTTGTTCTGTGAAGGAAGCCATCGGGGATTTAGGCAAGGGACTAGGTCAGATTTGCATTTTCATAAGAGTCAGTCTGGTTGTTCTGAAGGAAAGGGACTGTAGGAAGCAAGAATGAAGGCAGTAGCCATAATTCCAGCCAGGGCTGTGGGGCTTGGACCAGGGAGCTAGCATAGGAAATGAGGTTTAGAAAAGTGGCTGATGAAGGGGCTGGGGATTTAGCTTAGTGGTTCCACTGCCAGCCTCATAAGTGCAAGGACCTAAGTTCGATTCCCGGTACCAAAAAATAAAAAAAATAAAAAAGTGGCTGATGGCTTGCCTAAGGAGTTGGGTGTTGGGTGAGGAAATGAGCAGTATCTAGTAGGCCAGGCATGCCGAATTTATGGCCCACCGTTCCCCCTCCACCCTTTTGAGTGAGGAATTGTCTTGGGCTATATATAAAACATATAATATAGTTAATATATACAAGTAATAGAAATTCTTTTTTAAATTGGGGGGTTGGTTTTTTTGACGGTGTCTCACTATGTAGTGGGGGGTGGCCTTAAACTCACTATATAGCCCAGGCTGGCCTTGAACTTGAACTGATTGTCCTGCCTCAGCCTCCTGAGTGCTGGGATTACAACTGTGTGCCACCACACCTTGGTTTAAAATGTTTTTTATTATAACATTTTTGGGGGGGGTACTGGGGATCAAACTTGGGACCTCGCACTTGCAAGGCAGGCAGCACCACCACTGAGCTAAATCCCTGGCCCTATTACAACATTTTTTAAAAAAACAGGCATGGAGGGCCAAGGATTTAGCTCAGTGGCACCATACCTGCCTTGCAAGCACAAGCTCCTGAGTTCAATCCCTGGTACCAAAACAAAAAAAAAAAAACCAGGCATGGTGGTACACATCTGCAATCCCAGCAGTCTGGGAGCCCAACCTGTGCAGTTTTGACCAGACCATGTCTCAAAATTAGAAATTAAAGGGCTGGAGATGTAGCTTTGGTAGAGTGCTTGCCCAGCATTCATGAGGCCATGGGTTCAATCCCCCACACCACCAAAAGAAAATTAGAAAATTTTTTTAAAGGACTGGTGATGTAGGTCAGTGCAAAAGCCATGGATTCAATCCCCACTACCTGCCCCCCCTCCGAAAAAAGAAGAGACTAGAAGAAAAGGTGGGCCACAGGTTGGACATGTTGATGGTAGGCAGTTCTTGGATCCCAGTGTCCCTTCCCTCGGTATTGTCTGCATTGTATAATCTCTTGTGGTCAGATCCCCAAGCCTGATCTCTTCCTTCTCCCTCTCTGGCCAGGTCTCCCCTGCCAAATCCACCCCAGCCCACTAAAACGCTCCATGTCACTCATCCCAACGAGCCCCCAGGCTCCTAGTGAGTGGCCGAGTTCAGAGGAGCTTGGTGCCCGGGCTCCTTTCACCACACCGGACCACGCACCCCTCTCACCCCAGAGCAGCGTGGCCTCTTCTGGCAGTGAGCAGACGGAGGAGCAGGGCTCCAGCCGGAACACTTTCCAGGAGGACGGCAGTGGTATGAAAGGTATGAGGGGAGGGTTTCTGTAGAGCTTAGACAACAGAAAATTGGTTATAGCTGCCACTTGCTTACCACTGTGAGGAGGGGAATGGTCTGAGTGGAGAAGATGATAGTCCCTGCCTTATGGGCTCAAGACAGAACATAGAGACCCCCACATGTACTCACACAGGCCCTGGTCTAATACGGGATGAGCTTATGTCACACCCAGTAAGACAAGGAAGCCAGGACACAAGTAACTGCTAGGGTTTAGAGAAATCAATGAGATAGCTGGATGTGGTGGCACACATCTGTAATCCCAGCACTTAGGAGGCTGAGGTAGAAGGATCGCCACAAGTGCAAGGCCAGCCTGAGCTACATAGTGACTTCAAGGCCAGCCCGAACTACATAGTAAGACCCTGTCTCAAAAAACCAAAAAAAAAAAGAGAAGAAATCAATGAGATCATCTTAACAGTTCAAAGGTTCAGAGTCCTACCAAAGGGAGGCCACCTGAAATGGCTCTGCAGAGCAGATGAAGTAGTTTATGGCCCCCACTCCTCCCAGGCTGCCTATGGTTTATGCCTGTTCTCTCCCTACAATCCTTCCTCTGCCCTGTTTCCAGGGTCAAACTCCTGACCTTTTACCCTCCCTCCTTTTCTACAGATGTGCCCTCATGGCTCAAGAGCCTTCGCTTGCATAAGTATGCTGCCCTCTTCTCACAGATGAGCTATGAGGAAATGATGACACTGACTGAGCAGCACCTGGAGTCCCAGGTGATGCTGACAGGGCCATCAGGGAGGTTTGAGGGTAGCACCATTTGGCTTTCCTGGATCCCAGCCCTCCTTTGTCTCTTTAGTCCCTATTGGGGGACCCCCAAGTACCTCACCCATTTCTAGCTTCCTGTCTCCTATCCTTATCACAGAATGTCACCAAAGGGGCCCGCCACAAGATAGCCCTGAGCATCCAGAAGCTTCGTGAGAGGCAGAGCGTTCTGAAGTCCCTAGAGAAGGTGAGGACCTGGTGTCCCATCTCCAAGGCCCAAGTGGTTGCTGAGTAGTATACCATTGAACCAAGGGCTCTAAGTCAGCCTTGCTGACAGCTGCCCGGGTCGTCTTCTCCCTGGGCCTCCCTGCTTCTCACATCTAATTTCCAATGGCCTCAGTCCTGGGGAGCCAGACTCCAGCAGTCATGTGCACGTCAGCATCAAAGAGCTCACTTGCTGGTCGCTAAGAGGCTTCCCTCCATGTCCATCCTGATTTGTGATCCCAGAATTTGTCTTTTAATGCCACCTCTTCTCTCCGTTTCTGCTTTTCTGTTTGAGTGTCTGTGTGTGATCTCTTCCTATTTGTTTGTTTCTTACCATTCACTGTCCTCTGTTTGCCTCTATTTGCATTCCTCTTCCCTTCTCCCTGATTGTTGCCGTTGGGTGTTTCCTTCCTCCTCAGTGTCTTGGGCTGAATCTTTGATTCTTCATTGGTGTGACCCTGAGGCCCCAGTATTAGATTACCTTCTCCTGAGTTCCATGAACCTCCACCTTCAAGGGGAAGAGGGGATGTGTGTGTACAAGTGTGTGCCTGTCTGTGTGTGAGTTGGCAGTGTCCTTACCTGTCTTCTCTATGTGCCAGAACCCAGGGTGCCAGCCTGTGTCCTCCAAGCCATGTCAGACTTGTGTAGTCATTGTCTGTGCCTTGCTGTGGGGATTGCATGTGATCCCAGCCATGTCCTCCCAACACAGGATGTGCTGGAAGGTGGGAATCTTCGGAATGCTCTGCAGGAGCTGCAACAGATCATCATCACCCCCATCAAGGCTTACAGTGTCCTTCAGGCCACTGTGGCTGCCACTGCTGTCACCTCTACTGCCAAAGATGGGGGTCGAGGAGAGCCTCCGCTGCCAGGTGCTGAGCCTCCCCTAGCCCACACTGGCACAGACAAGGGCACTGAGGCCAAGGACCCTCCAGCTGCGGAGAAGTACCCCTCTCCTCCAGCTCCAGCTCCCACTGATGGCAGTGAGCCAGCCCCCGCTCCTGTTGCTGATGGAGACATCCCTAGCCAGTTTACACGGGTGATGGGCAAAGGTAAGAGCAGCCAGGCCCTACTCCAAAATCCTGAGGCAGAAAGCTGGGTGAGCTCAGGCATTGGGGATCAAGTCCAAGTTACATGGTGGGAGCAGGGCTTTTTAAAGCCTCCTGGAGACTGGAGCACTGCAGAGAGGAGCTGAGACTGAGGTGATGCCCTTCCCCTCAAAGGATCTCCAGCCTGAGCAGAACATGGGACATTTTGTCAGAAAGGTCTGCCTGTAATAGTGGGGGAACAGATATGGAGAAGCCAGAGGTTCTGAGGGAACACAGATCTAGGGGATGGGAATAGTGAAGGTTGTGGTGGTTTAGCCTTTGCAGAAGGAGCATGACATAGAAGACTTTGCAGTTGAATACTTAGCTTTTTGGCTGTATGACCTGGGACAAGTGACCTGGCTTTTGGAGGCCTTATGTCCGTCAGGCTAAAAATACCCACATTGACAAGATTGTTGCTGTTACAAGAATTAAAATGTATTATTGACTGCATATCTGCCTTGTGTCAGGCACTGTGGTGGGTGTTTTATACATCTAGCTCATGTTAACTCAGGTGCTGTGCCTACCACTTAGCTGGGCCTGAGGGGGCTGGAGCACCATGGGAAGCATGCTGGGGCTAAATTGCTCTTCCCTGTATCCCCCAGTGTGTACCCAGCTTCTGGTGTCCCGACCAGATGAGGAGAACATCACCAGTTACCTCCAGCTCATCGAAAAGTGCCTGACTCATGAGGTAAGATCTTCTCCAGAAAGGCTGCCCCATTCCTCTCAGGAGCAGCATTCCAGTGGGGCCTGCCTGGCACCCACCTGCCTTTACCAGCCCCTCATCTCACTAGCATTGGCTTCAAAGGCTTCTTCTCAGAGGCTTTGTACATAACTCCTGTCAGGACCAGTCCCCTCCCTCCCATTTGTCCCTCGATCTCAGTTCTGACATTGGTACAAGGGACCCAGAGACAGACTCACCAAATATATCACGCCTCCTGCTCTTTACCCTCATTGGGAGGACCTTGCACAGTTATGATTGTATGTATGTCTCTCCCACCTAAGCTATGCACTCCATGATCACAGCCACCTCTGTGCCCAGCATTGCCTGGCATAGGGCAGGTGAGCACAGATACCTAAGCAGTCAATGGAAGGCAGGTGTGAAAGCAGCACCCTCCCTCCCCAATCCTAGGCTTTCACTGAGACGCAGAAGAAGCGGCTGCTATCCTGGAAACAGCAAGTACTGAAGCTCCTCCGGACATTCCCACGCAAAACTGCTCTAGATATGCAGAGCTACCGGCAGCAGAAGGGGTGAGTGAGTGCCTCATAGGGTCTTGTGGTTGGTAGGTTAGTGCTTAGAGGGGTGATTGTGTTCTGGGCTAGGTTGAGACTCTCCGGGGAAAATAAGGGTATTACCAGTAGACTAGGATGCATGGGCTAGGAGGTGTAGCTCAGTGGTAGAGCACTTGCCTGGCATGGGTGAGACCCTGGGTTCCATCTGCAGCACTGCAAAATAATAAATAGCATGCTGAGCTGGCAAAAAGTAGCATATGTCTGGAGCAAGCCCCTTCCCTGTACCTTTCTCCTCACCTGTAATGTAGAGGGGTCCAAAGTCCTTTCTTGCACCAAACAAATGAGAGAAATCTCTTTTGAACAGTGAAGTTTAGAGAACTGTCTTGAGTGGACAGTGAAGAAACCTTTTCATATTCCCCATCTCCATCCTGGGGAATACCCTTGGATCAGGAGGAGACAGGAGTGTGTGACACAGGGGTGTGGTTAAGGAATCTACTCAGAGCAGGTTCCTGATCTGTCATACTCACTGGTGTTGTGGGGAAGGTGAGGGGAAAGGGGCACAGATGGCCCCCATCCACTTAAGCTAACACCTGCCTTTTGCTCTCTCACAGCTGGGCATTCGGCTCCAACTCACTCCCCATAGCTGGCTCTGTGGGGATGGGGGTGGCCCGGCGAACGCAGCGGCAGTTCCCAATGCCTCCCCGGGCCCTCCCACCTGGCAGGATGGGCCTCCTGAGCCCCACAGGCATTGGGGGCGTCTCCCCTCGACATGCCCTTACCAGCCCCAGCCTTGGGGGCCAGGGCCGACAGGTGAGCTGACTGGAAGCAGAGCCTCTGGGGCTTCTAGGGGCAGGGGCAGTGCCTGAGGTGTATATATCTGTGTATCTACACCTAAGTCTTGCTGAGAGGGAAGGGCACTCTTTTGCCAGCTCCTTCACTCCTAGGCCCAGGCCTGTTTTCTACTCAACCCCCCACCTCTTGCTGTGTCCTGTGCAGAACCTGTGGTTTGCCAACCCCGGCGGCAGCAACAGCATGCCCAGCCAGAGTCGCAGCTCTGTGCAGCGCACCCACTCACTTCCGGTCCACTCGTCACCCCAGGCCATTCTCATGTTCCCTCCAGGTGAGGTACCCTGCCTTGGGACTCTGCCTTGCCAAACTCCTCAACTAGCCTTTGTCTTTTTTGGGTCTCATAGTCACTGTCCCTTCTGGACTGCAAAAGCAACTTTCCCCATACTTCCCAGTACTCTGCACCCATCTGCCCCTATCCAGGGAGAGTGCTTTTCCGTTCTGTTTCAGTTTTCTCTCTCAGATCCTGCTTTCACTCTCTCAGCACCACCTTCTCTCACCTCTTACCCCCACTCCATCTCCACATCTTTCCCTCCCTACGCAGTGGTCTTAGAACACTTGTTGATCTCTGTCACTCTCTATAGCATCATTAAATACTCAATTTGGGAGGGGTGGAGGAAATGAGAGGTGTCCATGAAGGGGCATCTTGCCCATCAGCCACCTGCATTCTTTCAGAAGCCAGTGATCTCCACCTCTTAGACAAGGCTCTGCTCCCCAGGGTGTTGGGAATGGAAAGTCAGGAGAACAGAGGTGGCAAGAGAAGATGAGATAGCACCAGCCATAGGACCCTGCCTTGCTGGATGAGAGGGGACTGATTCCTCTCCTGGGCCCACTGCTGGACACTGGGCTCGTCATTGATGGGCTGCCCTAGAGAGATCTTAGGTTTTCAGGTGACCCTAAGCTCTTGATGTTATGAACTGCCATATCAGCCAAGAGTCTTAGTTTATGGGATGATGTGGACCAACACCTGTACACCCAAGGGACTCCATTTGTCCTGTTCATCCTAGCATAGGCCATGGCTTCTGTAAATGATGCTGAACGAGCAGAGGGATAAACTGTAGGAGCAAAACATAAGAACTATTCTCCTTTGCATTGTGCTGTGTGCCCAGCTCTGTCAGGCAGTGCAATTCAGATCCTCCCAACTATACATAAGAGGACCCTGCTATTAGTCCAGTCTTAACAGTCAGTAGTCAGAGACAAAGAAGTGGCTTGTTCAAGTTCAGAAGATATTTTTAGAGTCAAGTGTGCCAGACTGCCTTACTCCCCATCCCTGTAATACAGCACTTAGGAAGCTGAGGCAGGAGGATTGCTGCAAGTTTGAGGCCAGCCTGAGCTACATAGTTCAAGGCTAGCCTGAACTATAGCAAGACCCGGTCTCTTTTAGGAGAGACAGGGATCTGATAGGACCTGAGCTCAGGGTCTGGTTGGATGGTGATGAGAGGTGAGGCTGGAGATGGGAGGATAGGATGGGAGGATGGTGAGGCTGGGGCGGCTGGGGCTCCTGAATCAAGGGTCAAGTGCAGACCTCCTTCCATTTAGTGAGGAGCTGAGGAAAAGTTTAAAGTAGGGTGTGGTAGAGCCAGGTCTGCCAGGGGTCTGGGTTGCTTCCCCGGTGCTGAAATAGGAAGGCCCATTTAAGAAGCGGTTGAGGACAAGCCCTATGGCTGTTGTCCTACTTTGCCCCACCTCTTCTGCCTTCGTGGATTTCATCCTGCCCAGAGGAACAAGTCCAAGTGGGGACAGGAAGGGTTTTAATTCAACTCTTGTACCAAATACAGAGAGCAGGTCATCAATCAGGGGTTGTGGGGCAGGTGCCCAGACTGCCCAGTGCAACTTACAGTCAGTGTCTGAAATAGTCATAGCCTGCCTGTGGTCTCCAGAAAAGCTCCCTTCTTTCACATCACTTCCTCTGTTTGCAAATCCAGCACTTTTTTTTTTTTTTTTTTTTTGCATTACCCAGCCTCTGTCCTTGCTGTTTTCTTCCCTGCCTGCTTTGTGACACTCCCAAGCCTGTTACCCTCTTTCCTGTCTGCCTGTCGTGTCCTTCCAGGCATATGCATACCTCACAGACTCTCATTTCTGTCTCTTGGCCCCTGCCCTCATAACAGGAGCCTTTATCACCCAGCTCTACTCTCCACCCAGTCCAGTCGGTCCTCACCTCACCTCCTCCATTTTCTCCCACCCAGACTGCCCGGTCCCTGGGCCTGACCTGGAGATCAATCCCACCCTGGAGTCTCTGTGTCTGAGCATGACAGAACACGCCTTAGGTGGTGAGCATTTCCTCTTTCCTTGACCCAGCTCCCACCTACCCAGCGTCTCCGCCTCTGAACTGAGCAACTCAGAGTCCTCCTGAGGGTCCCCAGGGGAGGCAGACTCCAGGGAGGGCCCGCCTGGGATGACAGGCCACCTGAATGCCTTTCCTCGGGCTGCCACCAGCTCCTGATCTTCCTCCCTTCCTCCCTTTCTTATCACAGATGGGACAGACAAAACCTCCACCATCTGACAGGACCCACAGCCCAGCGCACCCATAGGCTCCCTGGGCGGCGGGCGGGGCCAGCCCCCAACGGGCTTCTCTGCAGCAGCGAGAGGGTGGGCTGGCTGAGCTATACATTCTAATATTTTTCTACTCTCTCACCCTTTTAACTTTTGTTTAACATTGGTACACGCCTTGCTCACTCCCAGGCCCACTGAGGAATCTCTGCTGAGGCCAGGGCACAGAGGGGGCAGCCAGGACAAGGGGCAAAGACTGGCCCGACTGCCTTCCTCCCCATCCCGCCACCTGGCCTTGTCCCATCCCTGCCTCCTCCAGACCGCTGACTGCCTGCTACTCCCCAAGGGAGCAGACTCCCCAGAGACAAGCTGACTGTTGCCCTGTGGAGCCTGCTCAGAAACCTTTGACACTGGGGGAGAAATGAGCAGGGTAGGCAGCCGGCCTGCCCAGGATGTTACTGGAGAGGAGCTGGGGAGAAAAGGAGAATGAGGAGAGAGATGGTTCTCCCTCTGCTCCCCTCTGCCCTTCCCCATTCCCGTCATTCCCAAGGACAGGAGCCACCTTTCTCACCCTGTTTATCAGAGGTTCTCTACAATTAATTTCTTAGGCCTATTTAAGATACATATTTATATAGTTCTTAACGGTTTTTCTCTCTGATCATTCCTTGTCATTTTTAGAATCTCTAGGCCTCTCTGAGCCAAGACAGTGGCTGAGGGAGCCTGAACTTTATGTGGGGAGAGGGCAGAGCCCGCTCCTCCAGACCCCCTCCCCCTTCCCCATTCCCCAGCCCTGGCTCCCAGGCGCAGAGGTTGGAGGTGGGCAGCCAGGGCAGCAGTGAGGTCAGGAAGTCTGTTGCCTTAACATCCCCTTTCCCCACCAACACATCCTTCTCCGCTCCCAGGTCTGGCTGCTGAAAGACTTGGGGTTCGGAATATGGGAAAGGGGATTGTTTGGTTTTGGTTTTATCCCTGCCCCCTTTTTCTTTCAGCCTTTCCCACCCCCCATTATGTCATGACCTCATATAAGTGGAACACTATATCATAACCCAGAGGTGCATCCTAGCCCCAGTCACATAGACCCTCTGGTCCCTGTTCCTAATGGGGCTTTGTGCTGGGGTCTAGGTGGAAGGAGGGGATTTGGGGGTTCAGACTGTGGGGAAGCCAGGGTCCCCCTATCCAACCTCCTTTTCCCCCAACCCACCCACCTCACTGGGACATTCTCAAGCTTTTCACACCGAAAAGGAAAAAAATGTTATTTTTAGATACATTTTATGAATAACTTTTGTTATGAATATGGCTGGTAACCATTGTGTATGTTATTAAAGATACAAAATGTTGGGAAAAAAACAAAAAAACAAAACAAAAAAATGGACCCCCCCCCCCGCCCCCGCACTATTTGCCCATTCCCCAGACCTTCCTGCCCTTGCTCTCCTGGTCTGTGGACCTCCCTCTGCTGAGCCCAGGGAGGGGGAGGAAGCCAGAGGGTAGAGTGGCTCTGGGGACCTGCCACTGGGCCCCCATCTCCTCTCCCAGTGCCGGGCTGGGTGGGGTGTCAGGTTTATTTATGTACCTCTTGCACACTCATCAACCTATGCAAGTCCCCACCCCGGCCCCTCCATGTTTCTGTGCCTTTGCTCATTCCCCTCAACTTCCCAGGGCTTCTCCAGCCTCCTCCCACTAGCCACAGGAAGTGGGATGGATGGGCCACCTCATTTGGAATCAGCAGGGTGTCCTTGTGGAACACTCATCTCTCCCCAGCTGGTTGGTCCCATCTTCACTCCCCATCAGGGTGAGCTGACCCTGCCTGGCACTGGGAGGTGGTGAGGGACACCCTCCCCAACACAGAGGGAGGAGAAAGCTACGCCCCCCTCCTGACAGCAGAGTGTGCAGGACGCAGGCGGCCCCACTCTGATGGGCAGGGCCTGACCCTCCTGCCCTGCCCCCCAAGACCTCCATGATTTTACCCTCCCCGCCTACTTCTGTCCTCAGCCCCACTGGCAGAATCAGCTTTGAGTAACTGTACAGTTTTTCTCGCTGTTGGGGAAGACTGACTTGTTGGAGTTTCACTTGTTTAATGGTCTGGGCTTATTTTGGAAAAAAAAAAAAAAAAAAGATTCTGACGTTTGTTATGCTCTACTTCATGGGAAACTGACCTTGCTTCTGTATCTCAGGCTGGGGTCCTTGAGCACCTGGGTTGGGGGGGGGGGGGCGCTGGGTGAAATAAGAGGCACTGGGAATGGAAATCAAGAGAAGTTGGCTTTATTAGCAGCAAAGGTGGAAGGGTGGGGAGAATCAACAAAGTGAAGAGCTCACAAAGAGACCACTAAAAAAGTGCCTCATTGCTCCAGCCTCCTTTGAAAGCCCTTGGGCCTCAGTCACTGTCACTGTCGGCCTCACTGGACTCAGAAGCAGCTGCTTCACTACCATCCTCTTGGGCTGAGTGCTCACTGCCACTGGCAAAGGGGCTGGCACTGCGGCTGCGACTCCGGCTCTGGCTCCGGCTGCGCTGGCCACCTGCGTCACTGCCACTGTCCGAATCATTGTCACTGCCACCACGGGCCTGTCCTCTGTCCTCATCATCTGAGTCAGCATCATCCTCCGAGTCAGCATCACTACCGAAGATCTCCTCTTTGTCTCGGGCTGCCCGGGCTTCATCCTCGCTGCTCTCGTCCTCACCACTGCCACTCTTGTCACTTGCCTCGTCCCTGTCACCCTCCTCCCGTTCACTCTCACTGCCAGAGCGCTCGTCCTCACTGCCCTCCTTCTCGCTGCTGCTGCCCTTCTCATGTTCCTCATCTGTGAGGGAACAGGGAGAGGTCAGACCCAGTTTCTCACCCTCCCAGGGCTCCCAGGGGCTGACTTGTGCCTCTACCTGAGACCCCAGCTTCTTTTTCTTCTGCCTCCATCTCCTCCTCTTCTTCCTCCTCGGGTTCATGGTTTTCCAGCTGAGCCTTCCGTGCCTCCTAGAAGCAGGATTGGGAAGGGGGAGGGCATGATGCCACACCTTTGTCTCACCACCACCACCACCCTCCTGTTGGGGCCCTGGGGCAGGAATGCTTGTTACCTGGGCTTCTAATTCCTTCTCATTCATGTCTCGATGTTTGACCACAAGGAGGGCGTTGGTACCTGACTGAACCCCAGCCTTGGCTCGCCGCTTACTAAGACGGACCCTGTAGAGGACAAGTTGCAGGAGGAGGCTGGAAGATCCAGTTAAAGAGCCCTCCAGTGAGGGGTCTGGTCTGACTTGATTCCCCATCAATGCTTAGCCCAGAGCGCACCAGGGGAAAGATTATATATATAGTGTATATATCTTGTGTGTGTGTGAATGAATGAATTAGATATCAACCAACACTTAAAAGTAGATGTCAAATCTGGATTTCTCGCTTTTAAGAGGAACTTATGTCCCACTGGAAATAGAACGTTTCTGCCCCTAACATAATAGTGGGCTGAAATTGGGGTGTGGTGCTCCTTGGGAGTAAGCCAACTTACTCTGAGCCAACCAGTTCTTTGCTGCCTCTCACATTTCCTTTCTGGCTATGAGATGAGAATATTGGGTCTCGGCTTTAAACTAACTCTTAAACCTTGTGCCCCAGCTAATTACTTTCAGCGCACAGGGAATTTTAGGGTCATGTGTTTGGTTTTTGCTTTTGGGACAGGGTCTCATTATGTAGTTCAGGCTGGCCTTGAAGTTATTATGAAGCCTAGACTAGCCTTGAACTCACGGCGATCCTCCTGCCTCAACCTCCCAAGTGGTGGAATTACAGACATGCGCCCCCCCCCCCAATATTAGGGCCAAGTTTTTGAAGTTAGATATCAAGTGTTTCATTTAAAACAGACATTAGGCATGGTGGTGCACACCTGTGATCTCAATACTGGGAGGCTGGGGCAGGAAAACTTTTTTAAGTCTAGCCAGGGCAACTTAGACCCTGTCTCAAAAGGGCTGATGATGTAGTTCAGTGTGAAGGCCCTTGGTTCAATCTCCAGTACTGCCCCCCTCTGCTGCCGCAAATGTATATGTGTGAATATATGTGTATATACATATATATGCAAATATCCTGAGAAAGTTGACTACACCCTACTCAAAAGCTCTAAAAGCCTCCAGCATAACCTGGTGACTTTTTTTTTTTTTCGGTAGTTCCAGGGATTAAACCTAGAGCCTTACATTCTACCACTGAACTACACCCCCAAACAACACCACCACCACTTTTTTAAGACAGGGTCTTCACTTCAATTGCATAGGCTGGCCTTGAACTCACAGTCCTACCTCCGCCTGCTGGGATTACTGGTATGTACCACGCTCTCTGACTTGCCCCAGGGTCTGAAGCAGAAAGGCAGGCTAATCAGGAGTGTGCTGAGTACCTGGTCTCCAACTCATTGTAGTACACCCCATCACCCTCTCGGAAAATGAAGAAGTAGTTCTCCTCGTAGCCCTTGCTAGCCTTGTTCTTCACATTCCAGTTGTATTCCCGAGCAATCTTGTAGTCATACCTAAGGATGAGGATACGAGGTCAGCCCCATTTTGTTCCTGAGGAGGCAAAAGGGGGAAACACTTCTCAGTCCCCAAAACCTGTCCCAACCTACGCACACATCATCTGGTGCATAGTCCATCTCCTCCTCTTGATCTCGTTTTCGTTTTTTCAGTGTCTCTTCCACAGGCAGGAAATAGGCCACAAACTGGTTCCCTTCCTCATCCATCATGCCCCTGGTTAGGTGAAGAGGAGAGACTAATGGGTGAGGGCAAAGGGACAAGGAACAGGCCAAGGTGGGCAGCAGGACCGCTGACCTGATCATGGCCTGAGACATCATCTCTAAGGCAGCTGCTCCACTTGTGTCTTTGGGTGCTGGGTCTGAGTCAAAGATGACCTGAGCACATGGGTTGATCCACATCTGGCAGGATGGTGGGGACTGGGGTTAGTCTGGAACAGGCAGCCATGGGAGGCTGTCCCTCCACTGCCCGCCCTAGGCCTCACCTTAAAGTCTGGGAAGACAGGCATGACCTCCACTGGTGTCACTCGGGGCTTGCTGTAGTGTTGGGAGATCTAGGGAGTGGAGGCAAGAACAGAATGAGGAAGGAGGAAGAGCTGGACCCACACCTTTGTGTCTGCTTCCCATCCCAGTCTGTCAATTACCGACTTCTGGGCATCTTCAAAAGTCTTCTCAATGGCTGTGATCTGGCTATCCCTATCTTTATATATTTCCTCCTCGGTGAACTGTTGCTTCACAGAAACTCCAATCCTAGGATTGAAAAGAAAGGCTTTTAGGGGCCACTGGATAGACCTGAAATCTCCACCTTCCCTCCTTCTCTGTCTGCAACTTACTTGACCTCAGGCTTCTCATTAGAGATGCCATAACGATTGAACTCAGTGGAGATGTACTCTGTCTTACGCATCCATGGCACCACCTTTGCATGCTGCTGGGACCTAGGGTAGGAGATCAGGCACGTCAAGATTCCACACAGGATACCCTCCCACTTGCAGATCCTCTACCCACTCGGCACCTTCTCACCTCTTAGAACTGGTGGGGGCCTGAATCTCTTCTTCCAAAAGCTTCTCATCAGCTGGATCCAGGAGAACTAGAGAGCGAGGGGGCAGGAGGACCATGAGAGAGATGCAGGCCTGGCCTTTGCTGGCCTAGCACAGACCCTCCCCATCTCCCCACACACCATTGGGATCAATGCGGTAGGTGTCAGGGTTGATGAGGTCAATGGTGACCCCAAGGTCTGGCTCAGTCAGGAGATCGTGTTTGTGCTGTTTCTCCAAGGAAGTCGCTTTGTACTGGACAAACCTGGGTGAGGAAATATGGCAGTTCTGGTTTCTAGATTCCAGCTTCATCCCTCACATCCCAGCTTCCCAGAAGATAAGCTTCTCTGGAGAGGAACTCAGAATGGAGTGTTCCCATGTTGAAGTCTGGCTGGCTCTCCAGTGGGAGGGGACATGGGCACTACTTGCTCTATTCATTAGGTTTGGGGGGGAGGGGGGCATTTGTGGTACAGATTGAACCCAGGGACTCTGCACTGAGCTACATCCCTACCCCTCCATCTTTTTTTAAATTTTGAGATAAGGTCTTGCTAAAACTGCCCAAGCTGGGCTCCAAACTTTGATCCTCCTGTCTTAGCCTCCCAGAGTGCTAGTATTGCAAGTGTGTGACCCAACATCCAGCTCACTAGGTTTTAATTTGTTTCTGCTTTTGTGGTACTGGGGATTGAACCCAAGGCCTCACACATGCTTGGCAAGTGCTCCACCACTGAGCTACATCCTCATCCCTTTTTATGTTTTGTTTTTGCTTTTTTTAATGTTTTATTTTGAGACAGGCTAAGTTGCACAGGCTGACCTAAAACTTGCAATCCTGCCTCGGCCTCCTGAGCAGTGAGGTTGCACATTTGCAGCACTGCCATCATTCATTAGTATTTATTGAGCATCTCCTATTATGTCCTGGGAAGAAGGTACTAGGCTAGGTCCCAAGGAACTCCTATTTCTAAGTAGTTTCCCCATCCCCGATACTTGTCTTACCTGTTCTGGTCAAAGGGGTAGGTGATGAATTTAGGGTCGAAGGGGATGTCTGGGAGACTATTGCAGTACTTGACACGGCAGACCACTCCAGACCTAGGAAAGCAGTAGCTCAAAGCTAGACCCCTCTGGCCCGCCTCTCCTCCCACACCCCATTCCCCATCCCTCCTCAGAAAGCAGGTGGAGCTCACCTCTCAGGCAGAGTCCGGTGGGAATTGGGCCTAGTGGAGAAGAGAGATACTGATAGAATAATGGGAAGACCAGGACTGACAGTTTAAGAGGCTTCTCTTCTAAGTTCCTAAAAGCTGGAAGGAGGAGTACTTTGAGTGCTTTAATGGAGGGACCTAATATTTGATTCCTTTTAGAGGAAGTGTCCCCAAATGCTTTAATGAATGAGTCCAAGTGCTCAATCCCTCTGGGAAATAATGTCCAGTGCTTTAATAAAGAACTACAACTACGTACTCAAATGTTTTTTGCAGAGGGGTCTCCAAAAGCTTGACTGCGGGGACCTAAGTGCAAGATCTTTTTTTGTGCAAGATCATTTTTGAAGTCTCCAACGGTGTCACTCCTAAACTTGATAGCAAGGGAGGGAGCAACACCCGAGTCCTAGAAAGAACCCGCCTCCTCTGACACAGGTGAGCGCTCGTGACGTCACGGGCACACCTGGCGGGGGGGCGTAGCGTAGTAAGCAGACACCCTCACCCGATTCCCGGCTTGCTGAAACCCAGATAGACACCGGGGAAAGCGGTAAAGCCAGATGATGTGGCGCCTACCTGTGGCCATCCTCCCGCTGGGCCTGGGTTTGGATGGTGGGCGCCATAACGATGAGGTGACGGCGGCGCGGACCGGGTCCTCGCTGCGCCGCGGGCAGATGCCGAGGGGCGTGCCGACTTCAATGGACACCTCTCTGAGTCTGGGTTCGGGACGGCGCCGTTCTCAGCGGGGGTTGGGATGACGTGAGGTGGCTGGAAGAGCTCCGGGAACGACTCAGGTAAAAGCGCAGGCAGTGCCGGGGACGGACTCGCAGTTCCACCTCCAGTAACTGCCGCCCAGAAGCTGAGGACCCGGACCTGTCGCTTCAGGCCCCAAGGCCTTCCGGGAAATAGAGTCTGGAGCAAAATCACACACGGATTGGTCAGTTGTTGGGTAAAGGGCGGAACAATGGAGGAAAATCCTCTTATGATTGGTGAAAACATGTTGCAGTCTGGACGTCAGATTTGAGAGTGACGGAAGGTAGGGCACCTCTTCTTTCACTGGTTAAAGCGTCTGAGAGGCGGAGCTAACTAGCAAACTGGGCCTACCGCTGAAGAAGCTAAGAAACTGAGGGAAGCACACCTGTGACGCGCTTCCGGCGCTCTAAGAGGGGAAAATGGCTGCGCCCCAGCAGCAGGCTTCGGCGGCTTCCTCAGCTGCTGGTGTATCGGGTCCGGGTTCGGCTGGTGGCCCAGGTCCCCAACAGCAGCAGCAACCGCCGGCACAATTGGTGGGACCTGCCCAGAGCGGGCTCTTGCAACAACAGCAACAGGACTTTGACCCTGTACAGCGCTATAAGATGCTCATCCCGCAGCTGAAGGAGAGTCTGCAGGTGATTGTGCCGGAGCTTTGAGGAGCAAGCGAGATTTAGAGGTCTGAGGTGGTCCAACGCAGCCTGCTAAGGGGCCTGTTTAGTTGAGATTTCGTAGGCAAGGAACAGTAAGGCTTGTTTTTTGAGGTTGGTTTTTTTGGGGGGGGGTGGTTTTTGGTTTGTTTGGTTTTTTTGAGGCCATAGCAAAGCTCTGAGGTGGTACTAGTGGGAGGCAGTTTAAGGGAGAAACCGGGCTCTGGTCATTAAAGCCTGCAGGAAGGACTGACCTGTACGGAGATTGGAGATTCTGCGCGTAGCGGATGAGGGTTATGTCGGGGAAGTTATTGGTAAGAACCCCGGGTGAGAGCGGGCCTTTGGGAAAATAGAGGGGAGATTGCTGTAGGAATGGAAAAGAGTGTCATTCTGGACTGTCCCTAGGGGGAGGTGCCAAACAAAGAGGAGACCAGACATTGGGTGAATTTTAAGGAACAGTATAGATCAACCAAAGGTACTGTATTCCCTTATGTTTCTCCATCTCCTTCAACCGCCCCCCTTTTTTACTAGACCTTGATGAAGGTTGCAGCCCAGAATTTGATTCAGAACACTAATGTTGATAATGGACAGTAAGTACAGCCCCCTTTCCCAGGATATCCTATCTTCCAGCCTTAGAAACTTCTCTCAGCACCCTGCCCCCTCCTGTTTTCAAGCCCTGCCTGAGATCTCCTGGGCCCTGACTGGTTTCCTGATGAACAGTTGATTGAGTAGACAGTGGTGTCCCAGAGTTTGGAAATCCATTCCTCAATCACCCTTTTCTCCTGGGCTGTAGGAAGAGCAGCGATGTACCCTTACAGCGCTTTGACAAGTGCCTGGAGGAGTTCTATGCGCTCTGTGACCAGCTGGAGCTCTGCCTGGTAAGGAGTCTTCTGGATGACCAAAGCCCTGCCTCAGTCCCCAGGATCTTCAGGAACCCTCATTTAGACAACTCACTCATTGAACCAACCTCTTCTGGGCCAGATCTATGCTTCACCTAGTGCTGGGCACACAATGTTATCTGATCCTTGCTGTCAGAGCCCATCTGTTTAGTAGAATAACAGATATAACCCAATAGGGGACAGCTCAGAGTGGTCAAGGCTGATGGAAGAAGTCCAGGCCAGAAGAGGGCTCTTAAAAGGGAGGACAGGCAGAGGGGTCAGAGCTAGGATGGGGGAAGTTGGGGTCCAAAGGCATAGATTCCTGGGTAGGGAGGGGAGGAGGAGAGTGCCTCAGGAAAGGCAACTGGGAGAGAGCACATTGAGGAAAACTAGAACAAAGAACAGATGAGAAGCAGGAATGACTAAGAGCCTCAAATCAGACAGACTACTTGTGAATCTTGGGTTTCTCCTTTGGAAAATGAAGTTTCAGGAAAAACTGCAAGATCGTGCATGGGAAATACATGCTGTGATTTTAGGTATATCAGAAGTGTTTCTGGACTAGGTATTGAAGAAAAAGGCAGTTTGAGAAGTTAGTGGGAGAAAAGTGTTCTATTCATAGGGAACAGCTTCCGCTTTAAAATCCCTTTAGAAATCCCTTTAGGCACACACCTGTAATCCCAGCACTTGGGAGGCTGAGGCAGGAGGATCGGTATGAGTTTGAAGCCAGTCTGGGCTACATAGCAAGACCCTGTCTCAAGAAAAAAAGGGAGGGGGGTGGATGTAGCTCAGCGGCACAGCACTCACCTGGCAAGTGCAAGGCCCTGAGTTCAATTCTTGGTACCAAAAAAATAATAACTCAGGAGATTCGGTCTGGCTGAGATGTAGTAGGAATGGAGCTTGTTGGATTTTGTCTTGTTTTGCTTTCAGACAGTCTCACTGTGTAGTCCAGGCTGGCCTTGAACTTTCTATATTGGGCTTCTTGGATTTTGAACCCTGAGAGTACTAGGGAACCATAGAGAATTTCAAGCACGGGAGAAAATGGACCCATTTGCTTTTAGTGACATACCTCTGGTTGCCAAAGGAGAGATATGTAAAAGGGGCTGAAACTGAAGGTAGGATCCCGAGGCAGCCAGGAGAGGGCTATGCAGAAGAAGGAAAGGTCAGATGGAACTTTGGAGGCTTCTGTAGGCCACAGGACTGATGGGCTATTTAGGAAGGAGTTTCCAAGCTGGTAGGATCTTCCTGAGAAAAGGTCCCATGAGAAGGAGCAGTTTGTGGAAGAATATGAGGATGTGGGAATGTCAGGCTAGGGACAGAGACGTGGGCACCATCACTGCAGAGGTGGGCATTTGAGTGGTGTGTGTGAGTGTGACAACCCTGGGAGGGCATGAGAAGTAAGAGGCAGAGAGCCTGGGAATTGCTGTGGAAGTCTTGGGTAGTGTAAGAAGTACCTAGAAAGAGCAACCAAAGAAGTGGGGGAGAAACTAGGGATAGAAGCCATCAGGGAAGCTACCACCAAGCCTCAGATTAGTACAGTTAATAGTACCTCAAATTCATCAGTTAGCTCTTAAAACCACATGCCAGGACCTGTACCTGTTCTCACTGTTCTCACCTTATGAGGCAGGGAGAGGAGGTTATTAAACCCATTTTTCAGAGAGGAGACAGGCTCAGAGAGGAGCAGCCACATGTCCTACATCACCCAGCCGGTGATTGGCAGGGCTAGGCTCTAACTCCAAGACTTTGGGGGTCATCAGACGAAACAAGCTGCCCCAGGGTGGTTATGGGGGTGCTGTATGCACCTGGAATGAGGCTGATGCTGTACCCTTGCCTGTCTCTACAGCGCCTGGCACACGAGTGCCTGTCACAGAGCTGTGACAGCGCCAAGCATTCTCCAACGTTAGTACCTACAGCCACCAAGCCTGATGCCGTGCAGCCTGACAGCCTGCCATACCCACAGTACCTGGCCGTCATCAAAGCCCAGATAGCTTGTGCCAAGGACATTCACACCGCCCTGCTGGAGTGTGCCAACAAAGTTACAGGCAAGATGCCCACACCACCTACTGGCCCTGGGGGGACCCTCTGAGGTGGCAGGGAGCCCCACTGGCCTGGCAATGAGAGTGGGGTTACAGTCAATGAAGAGTGATTTAAACCAAAGCAGTGTAATCTCATTTATATCCTCTAATCTGAGTGCTACAGATGGAGCCAGCAGGGGGCAGCAGAGGCCAGCAGGGAACGTGCAGGGTGGGACCTCGCCTTTGCTTTGCACTGCCTCCATCGTCCCTCCCTAGGCTAGGGTCGACTTGGAATTTTGCGCTGGGAAGACCTTTGTTCTAGGGTCCCTGCCCCTGACTGGTTTGGATGTGGCACCCTGCCAGCCCTTCTCCCCTAGTCCTTTTGAGTCTGTCCCAGTTGGGTGCGGTTTGCTTTTTCTAGCTCTTTCTCCATCTCCTCTCTTGATTCTCTCTTCCTCTTTTTTTGTTTTGTTTTAAAGTGTCTGACTATGTAACCTAGGTGGTCTCAAACTTTTTTTTTTTTCAGTACTGGTGATTGAACCCAGGACCTTCATGTTGAGTTACAGCCCTTTCATTAAATTTTTTGAGACAGTCTTGCTATATTGCTCAGGCTGGTCTTGAATATTCCATCCACCTGCCTCAGCCTCCCAAGTGCTGGGGTTATAGGCATGCACTGCTGTGCAAGGCTCTTGGTCCTCGCTGTTTTGTCCCTGTCTCTGCTCCCATTTCTGTCTCTTGCCTTTCTGGTCCTGTGATTCCCTGTCTAGCATCTCCTTTTGCTGTCTTCTGCCTCCCTACTCCTAACAGATTCTGCCTATGAAAACAGCTGGGGGAGGGTAATTTTTTTTTTGGTACTGGGGATCGAACTTGGGACCTTGCGCTTTTGAGGCAGGCGCTGGAACCACTGAGCTAAATCCCCGGCCCTCAGGGACTTCATTTTTAAGGGCCACAGCTAAACCCAGAGTTCCCAGCACCTCCATTATCACCCCAGGGTCATAGGCAAGGAAAGAAGAAGTAAGGGGTCTAGTCCCTAACTGGGGAGCAACTGGCCCCACCCGTCCCCAGCCCCTGCATCAGCGTCAGCGGAATGCCAATTCAGGGCATTGTGCAATCTGCAATCTGCGGGCGGCCTGGCCCAGCTGGATGCCTGGTCCCTATATTTTTAGCCCTAAAGGAGAAGTGAAAAGGCTGGGGCAGGGCTGAATCATCAGTCCTGGGGAAGAACACAGCTCTCCGGGAAGCAGGCCCTGGGGAGGGGGCTTCAGGGAGGGAGTGCCCCATCAGGCTCCCCCAGCTTCCCAGAGAACCTGGGAGCTCAGCATGGCCTTCAGGCCTGGGCAAGTGCTGGGCTGAACACGGAGGGACCAGCCCAGGCCCAGCTGTCGGTTAGGGTGTGAACGGCCCAGTGACTCATCCTGGTTGGGGAACTGCTCCACCCAACCCCTTCAGTGCCCTGGTTCCCATGTCACCACCCAGGGGGCTCCTGTTCTGGACCCCATGTCTGCAAGGAAACCCCTGAACCATGGACACCTGTGTGATTCATCGGGAGCCCGAGTGCCTACAGAGGGAAACTGGGAAGCAGCCAGCTATGCGCATGTGTGTGTGTATGTCCATTCCAGGAATCCCTGCTCTGCCCTTGAAGTGCCAGAACATATGGGAGGCCTGCAGAAGCACTGGCCCTAGGTGGGAAGCTGTAGTCTATCACTTTCTCTAGATGGATTAGTTTCCTACCCAACCCCCACATTATCTAGGACAATCTTAACCAAAAGTCAACTAATTATGGACTTTGATCACGTCTAAAAATGCCTTCACAGCAACACAAAGATTAGTATTTGACTGAATAACTGGGACTGTGACCCTGCCAAGTTGACACATAAAACTGACCAGCTATTCTTTGCCACCTGGGGTCCTGCACATGTCTTTTTAGTAAGACTTGTCTCCAGAAACAAAGTCACATTTCTGTCCAGCAGGATACAGGATCTCGAATACAACTGAAAATTCTCTGACCCTGTCTGACCAGCAAAGCCCACCAGCTTCCAGGCTGAGGACACACCACATGTACTGACAGATTTGTCAGTACATGGGCACCTATGCAAGAAGACAGGTACAGCTGGCCTTTTGGGGTTGTGTCAGCCTGATGATGTCATACACAAGTGCAAGCAAAACATCCAGGCACCCAGGACACAAGGCCCTACCCCTTAAAACCACACCCGGGGAGACACAGTAGGCACTGTGGTGAAGAATGCACATCCAACAGCCACAGGTAAAAGATGGGCCCCAGGAAGCTATATTCATTCAACAACACTGACAGGCCCTGTACCCTTGGAACTGTACCTAGTGACAACATAATAAAGTAACACGTGGTAGATAAGACAAGTTTCCAGAAGCAGCAGAGAAGTGAAATCAGAAGTGGGAAAGATCTATGATAATATACACAGTGGTATTTGGGAATAAATCTAACATGAAAAATTCAGGTGGCTGAATGTTAAGAGTACTAGCCTAGCATGTGTGAGGCCCTGTGTTCCATTTCTAGCACTACTAAAACACAAAGGTTTGCATACTAAGAATTATTAGTTTATTGAACAACATTTAAAAGTTTGAGAACGCTGATCGGATGTTGGTTTCATGAGCATTCATTATGGCCTGTAACTAGATGTTGCAGACTGTAGAGGCTACAGGTATTATTTGTTAAACTGATAACAAGGTGATTTTAAAATATGGGGGCAAGGGTGTAACTCACAGATGAGCATGGGTTTGAATCTCAGCACACACAATTAAGATGTGGGTGCAGTGGCCCACCTGGAGTTCTAGTCACCCTGGAGGAGCGAAGAGCTTGAGAGCAGCCTGGGCAACCTGGTGAGACCCTGTGTCAGAAAAAAAAAAAAAAGGACAAGTCAAGGAAGGCCTCACTGAGGAGATGATAGAGCAGACTTGAAAGACAAGAAATAAGTCATAGGGACACTCAGGGCAAAAGCACTCCTAAGAAAGGGAACTGCAGCACAAAGGCCCTGAGGCAGATATGTGCTGGTGAGCTGCTCTGAGGCTTGGGCCTTACGAGGAAGCAGAGACAGGAGGGGAAGCACAGAGTGTCTTGGTGAGGACTTGACTTCTGCTGGCCTGTCAGTCTCAAGGGAGGCTGTACAGCCTGGTGCACAAACACACCCCGGGAAAGGGTTATGCATGAGATGCACTGCTGCCACCCCTGTGCACAAAGAGACCGGGGGACCACACCAGCACACCACCCCACCCCCATCAGAGACACTACACGGTGTCCCTAAGGAACCGCATTCCATTGACAGTACTGCGAACAGTCTCAAAGGAAGCAACCAAACTGCAAATACACAACCCTCTAAGCAGCACTTAGCCACACTATCTCTCACCCCATCGCACTTTGCCCATCAAGTGCTAACTCAGCCTGGCCCTCAGTGTGGTGGGATGGGCTGGGGACAGATAAGAATTGCTCAGGCCAGGCCTCTCAGGTGTGGTGTGCCTATGCCTACTCTGCCCACAGACACACAAGTGAGCGTGACGTGGAGCAGGGTGCATGCCAGCCGGCGTCCCATCAGGAGCGCTGTTGACGTCAGGCACCAAAGTTCACCGGTTTCACTGCCTCGCAGCTGGGCCACAAAGGAACCACATCCAGACACCGCTAACGCTTGTCATGCACATGTAGTCTCAAACACCCACGGATAAAGCCCAGGATACAGATGAACACAGCCACAGTCAACTGGATGCTGACACTCAGTGCCAGGTCCCACGTGCACCGACCTCGGTCACACAGTTACACTTGCTGGGTCACTCCAGATCCTACAGTGGCTCAGAGCTGCACACAGATGTGCAGCAGGTAGGTCACCGGAGCCAAGAACGTTCCCTCAAAGCCAGCTGCAGCAGCGTTGAGGGGCCTCCCCGTGTCGAGCGGTTACAGTGCACGTGACAGAGCCAAACAGGTGGCTTCGCACATTTACTCACAAAGCACAGCCTTGTTCTGTGGGGTGGCGGGCGCACGGCCCTCACACAGGAAGCTGCGCGTAGGAACACTGTGTTCACACTTCCCCAGCTGCACGCTCAGGACCAGGGACCCCACCCCCAGGCGCGGGGCGCACACTATTCGCACAAGTGGGCCATAAGGCCCCGCAGTCGCATACACTGGACACCCAGCCTGACCCTCGGCCACATCCGCGTCGCCCGGACGATCTCGCCAGGCGGGCACACGCCGGGCACACGTGCCGTGAGTACACGCGCGCTCGCGGCGGTTCTCACACCCCCGCATTTCCCGTCCCCGCTTGTTTTTCTGGAAACTGTTCTCTCTTCTCCCCCCAAGCCGGAAGCGCTCGTGGTATTTTTAGGCTCTCCGGTTTCCGCCCCTTTCCCTCCCCCCACCCTCACCCGCCCGCCTCCGACCAGGCTGATGCGCCCTGCCTGGGACCCCGGCGTACCCTCCCCACCGTCATTCCAGAGGGGATTCCCGGCCGCCGCTGGAGCCGCGGGTTTTCCCGCTGGCTATATGGGGAACTGGGAGGAGTCCGGCCAGAGAACTTCCTCCTGGCCTGGGGCGCCTGAGGCGGGGGAGGGGGACCCTGATCCCGGGTCTGGGGGAGGACGGGCTGGTGTCTGGACCCCCAGGGTCGAAGGAGTCTCCAGTGTTCTAGGAGGACGGGCCGAGGCCTTGCTTCCGGAGTCCCACTCGTCCGGCTCGGGTGGTGGCGGTGAGGGGGGTCGGTCCACACGCTAAGCCCCCCAACCCCTTCAGGAGTGGCCGGCCCAGTCCCAGGCGTCCAGGCTCACACGTCCCGATGACTCAGCAGATGGGAGAGGGGAGGGGGCCGGGCTGAGTCAGGGATGGGAAAGGCTACGTCTCCAGGGAATCGAAACTGGAATCTCTGGGATCGAACCGAGCTCCCAGCCGGGCCCAGAGGACTCCAGCTGCACCCCCACCCTAGTCCTAAGAATGACACTGGGTGTCCGGGGGGAGGCGGGGCCCCGGGCCCCTCCCCCCTTTTCCTGCTGTCCTCGAGGCTTTGTTTACAGCAGACTGGAGCCCTGGTTACAGGAGAGGAACCCGGGCGTCCGGGCTGAGGCTCCTCGTCACGGCTTCCAGGAAGCCCTCCTCCCCCGCCCCTCGCGAATGAGTCACCCGCGAGCGGGAGGCCGCAACCGTGCCAAAGCCGCCGCGGCCCGCCCAGCTCACGGGACCGGCCCAGGAAGGCCCCTTGGCCCCAGAAAGCGCCACACCAGGGATTCCCCTCACTCCCCGTGCTCTGACGACGCAGGTCTGCTTGGCAGGATCGCCCCACCTCAATACAAGCCCTCTGCACAGCATGCAAGAATGAACTTCTCTTTTATTGTAACTGCTCCGTGGCAATGATTTCTAACTTTTTAGCGAGGGCAGCCACCCCACCGAGACCTTAAAAAAATTTCTTCTCAGATACTTTGTTCTGTTCGGTTCTTGTTTTTTCTTTCGTGGAACCGGGGATCGAACTCAGAACCTTGCACTTTCGAGGCAGGCGCGGTGCCACTGAGCATTAAATCCCCGGACCCGTTGTTGTTGTTGTCTTTTTGAGACAGTGGCTCCCTGAGCAGTTCAGGCTGGCCTTTAATTTAGCCTTGTAGTTTAGGCTGGCCTTGAACTCATGCAAATATTCCTGCCTCAGCCTCCCAAATGCTGGGATTACAGGTGTGCACCAATACACCCGGGTTCTTCCAAGATATTAAGAGTCTTCACTCAAAGCAACTAAAAGACCTGCCAATGTGGGGAATGATCCTCGAAAATTTAGCTTGGGCAAGGCATGTTCCCATTATAAGAAACCATCCAGGGCCAGGGATTAAGCTCAGTGGTTCCGGCGCCTGCCTTGCAAGTGCAAGGTCCTGAGTTTGATCCTTGGTACCAAAAAAAAAAAAGAAAGAAACCATCCAACATTTGAAGATGGCCCAGTTTTACCTCAAAATAGCTTTTGATTTAGACAATCCCCCACAAGACCTCTACCTTTCAAATCTTGAGCTTTTTGGGTCAAACTTCTTAAAACCCTGGCATAGCTGGGTGAGGTGGCACATGCCAGCAATCCTAGCTTTCAGAAGGCTGAGGCAGGAGGATCTCGAATTCCAGTCCAGCCTGGGCTACCCAGAGAAACTGTCTCAACCTCCCCACTCTAAAAAAGGCCCTAGTATAAGACTATTGCCATTTACTAGCTGAAACTAGGAGAGTAACTAGATAACTTGATTTGATGGAGATTTAGAACAATGCCCACCCCAAAGAAATCAGAAGGGCTATTAGGAGCATTGGGCTATGGTGGCCCCTTTTTAGCCTTGCCAGATAGCCCAACCCCACACAAACCCCTAAAATGGGGAAAAGGAAGGTACCCCAGGTCTCCTGTTCTGCCCCCCCCCCAACCGGGGATCAAACTCAGGACCTTTCACTTGTGAGTCAGGAGCGGTGCCACTGAGCTAAATCCCCAGCCCCAAGGTCTTCTGATCTGCTCCAGGTGAGGTCTTCGGAGAGTGGTCTCCACTCTAGCCTTTTGCCCTTTGCAGATTTCCACGTCTGACGGTGTTTGTCAGTGTTTTCCTCCTTTTCCTCGTCTCTTCAGTAACCCTCTAGGCCGGCTTCTCCTTTGGAATTTGTCTCTCTGGGACCGTCACCTGTCTCCCCGCCCTCCCCCCTTCTCACCCTGTCTCTCCCTGTGTCTATCTCTCGCTGCGTCTCTGTTTTTCTGTCTCTCGCCATATCTCGGTTTCATCCAGCTTATCTCTCCCCGCCCCCGTCTGTCTTCCACGCGCACCCTGTTGGCCTCTGCCCTAGTCAATGACTCCCGCAGCCCTGCCCCCACCTATGTCCCAGTTCCCTGACCAGTCAATGTCTAACCTTGAAAGCTGGGCAAATGCCTCTACCCTACTCACTACCCGCCCGTTCGCGGCTGCCCGCGGGCCAAGTTCAGGGAATCCTTGCCGGGGGCGGGAGGAAGGGGACTGGTTGGAAGGCTGCCGGGCTCTGTCGCGGGCGCCGTCCGGGAAGCGCCTTGGCCCCGCCCCGCCCCCTCTGGCCCAGCCTCCGCAGGCCCGCCCCCAGCTGACCTATAAGAAGCGGGCTCTCGCTACCTTCTGTAGCTGTACTTCAGCGCTCCGACTTTCGGCCCGCTTTTCCTGGCCATCCGCGCCGCCATGGATCTCACTGCCATCTATGAGGTAAGTCTCCGCCAAATTTGCTTGGCTCTCTAATTCTTTAGTGCCTTAAACTCCAGCCTGAGACGTCTGCCTTCCTCCTCAGGCCAGTTTGATTTTTCTCAGGGTGAAAATGGGGCCCGCAACTCCTGGGTCTCAGTCTGAACCCGGGTGGGGCAGCCCCTGGAGAGGGGAAAGCTGGCTCACTTTTCTCAAAGTAGGGCTTTCTGGAGGCGGAAGTGGCCCCCACACTCACCATAGTTGCTGAGGCCGCGGTTTTGCGCGGAGGCGTTCCTGGGGTTGAAGTCTCAGAATTTGAGGAAGCTGAGTTAAGTCCCCACGCCCTGGTCCCAGTTCTGTTGGAAGTCTGAGACTGCGGAGATCCGAGCTCATGGATCAGTTGTGAAACTGTACGACCAAATGCCCGGTTGTATCCGGGAAGGCCCTGAGGCTCAAAATTGGAAAACAGTTGGGGCTCTGGCGTTAGGATCCCCTCTGGATCCATCAATGCAAGCTAGGATTTCTGGGTTCCTCCGGATTGGCTTCAGTTGTGGATAAACTGAGGACTTTAATATCCGGATCCCTGGAGAATCTACAGGTTTCTTCGATCGGGTGGGGCTCAGGTCTGGAGCCCACAAACCGGACTGGCAGGCTCTTGAAGTGCCCTGCAGCTGCGGCAGGGCATTTCTGGTCCTCCTTACCAAACCCTTTCCCACAGAGCCTCCTGTCGCTGAGCCCTGACTTGTCATCGGACCACGGAGGAACTGAGTCTTCGGGAATCTGGAGCCTGAACTCACCTGACTCTGGCCCCTCTGGGGTCACCTCCCGCCTGCCTGGCCGCTCCACCAGCCTAGTGGAGGGCCGTAGCGGTGTCTGGGTACCCCCACCCCCTGGCTTCGCACCCCTGGCTCCCCGCCCAGGCCCTGAGCTGTCACCCTCACCCACCTCGCCTACTATGACCCCTACCACCTCTCGCTACAAGACTGAGCTCTGTCGGACCTTCTCCGAGAGTGGGCGCTGCCGCTACGGGGCGAAGTGCCAGTTTGCCCATGGCAGGGGTGAGCTGCGCCAGGCCAGTCGCCACCCCAAGTACAAGACGGAACTCTGCCACAAGTTCTACCTCCAGGGCCGCTGCCCCTATGGCTCACGCTGTCACTTCATCCACAACCCCAGTGAGGACCAGGCTGTCCTTGGCCACCCTCCACACGTGCTACGCCAGAGCATCAGCTTCTCTGGCCTGCCCTCAGGCCGCCGAACCTCACCGCCTCCACCAGGCCTGACAGGCCCTTCTCTGTCCTCATGTTCCTTTTCGCCCTCCAGTTCCCCACCACCACCTGCAGCTGACTTTCTACTTTCACCCTCTGCCTTCTCTGCTGCCCCTGGGACCCCTGTGGCAAGGAAGGAACCCACCCCAGCCTGCTGCCCCTCTTGCCGAAGGGCCCCTCCGGGCAGCATCTGGGGGCTGGCTCGAAGCCCCTCTGCACACTCCTTGGGATCTGATCCTGATGAATACGCCAGCAGTGGCAGCAGCCTGGGGGGATCAGACTCACCTGTCTTTGAGGCTGGGGTCTTTACACCCCAGCCTGCTTCAGCCCCAAGGCGGCTCCCCATCTTCAATCGCATCTCTGTTTCTGAGTGACAAGTGCCCACTTAGAGCAGACCAGCTGGATCTCAAGGGGGAGACACTTGTTGGGACCCGGGGGACTCCCGATGTAATCAGGTGGCCCTCCCCCCACATTCCAAAATGCATTAACCCATTCCCCTGATAACACACTGGGGCAGGCCCCCAGTGTGCAAGCCCAGTCAGTGTTCATGGTGTGGGGGTGGGGTGTTTTCTGAGCTTCTTAAGATGTAGCATGTTTGAGGGGCCCGGGGAGCTCTGGCCCCTGGCCAACCCTGTCTCCTGGAATCTTACGCGCTGTGAATAGTAGGCCCCTTCCCACTTTTTCCTAGACCTGAGTTTCCAGTGTCTGGTGATTGGAGCCTCCCCTGAGGGAGAATCCTGGTGCTCAAATTTCCCTCCACAAGCAAGTAGCCAAAGCCATTGCCAAGTCCCAACTCCCAAACAGTGGGCCCTTTATTTATGACGACTTTATTTATTCTAATAAGATTTTATAGTATTTATATATATTAAGTCGTCTGCTTCCCCTGTATTTTTCTTCTTTTTGTAATATTAGAAACGATGGTATAATTATTGTAAGTTACTATAATATATTAATATATAGTTACCTCAAAAATTATTTTTGTTTTTGAAATTTTTAAATAAACAATCTGCGTGTAAAATTGGGATCCTGAGTTTTTCAAGGCCTAGAGGCAGTGAGAAAAGTGGGAAGACAATGACATTTTTTAGAAGCTGGATAGGGGACTGACCCCCAAGCTCTCCCAGAGCTCAGCCTCCTGCGGGAGCTTACCTGGCAGGAAGTGACGCCACCGGCCTCGGCCCTTCACCTGAGAAGGCGGGGACAGGTGAGGTCACCCCGAAGGAACCAGGAGAGCCAGTTCTCGGGACGTGGGGGCCGGTGCGCTCCCCAGCCCGGCAGGCTCCTTGACCCAGCTCGGGCGGGCGGGCGGGGACGGGATGTTTCCGTCCCCACGAGGCCAAGACGGACTGCCTGGGCGGCGTGGGGAGGACGGAATGTGCCGGAACGCGAGCCCAGCGGGGGCGGGGGAGGCCGGGCTGCTGGGGCGAGGCGAGGGGGAGGGGAAGGGGGAGCAGCACCCCGAGTCTCTGGACTCCCGACTTGGGGGACAGACTTTCTGAAGAGGAAGGGTTCCCCCCTGTCCCCCCGGGTACTGAGGATTGACCCCAGGACTTTCGCACTGAGCGATTCATTGTTTTTTGAGACAGGGTTCCCTAAGTCATTAAACTGCCCGTGTTTGTGCTTGGGAGCCTCCTGATTTAGCCTCCCAGAATACTGGGACTATGGGGTGGAGAGGTTTTTAAAGTCTCAAGGAGTCTAGAATCTCGGCACTCTGAACTCAGGCTGGGCTTCTGGCGACTTCGAATCTGAACGCTAGTGGTGCCCACACCCGTTGGGGATCAAGGAACTCACAATGACTGGATCCTGGCTTTCCCTGACCCTCGGAGCTGGGGCCTCGCACTGCAGCTGAGCGTAGGCCGGGCCGAGCCTCGGGGCGGGGCGGCACCGAGTTCCCAGACCTTAGAAGGCGAGGCGTTGGGGCCGCGGGCAGGGGGGCCGCGCCGGAAGCCACCCCGCGTCAGGCCTGTGCCCGGGCCCCTCCTCGACCCTCTTCCCTCCTCCCTGCCACTTCCCTCTCGCTCCTCCCTTCTCTCCCCTCCCTCTCACTTCCTCCTCACCCCGTCCCTCCCTCCCCCATCATGTCTCCTTCCCCATTGCTCCTCTCCCTCTTCCTTGCCAGCATCCCTGTCCCCCTGTCCCGTATCCCCTCTCCCATCCCCCCTTCTTTCCACTGTTCTTCCTGCCCTGCCAACCCATCCCCCTCCTCCTATGCTGTCCTCTTGCGCAGCAGCCTCCCTTAACCTTCCTGCCCCTTCTCCCTTGCCCTCCCTCTCCTCTGGCCTTCCTAGTCCCATTCCCCATCTGTCTGGCCTTTGGTCTCCTCTTCCAGGAAACTGCCTCCCTTTGGGAAAAGGCTCCGGATCTGGTACGTAGAAGGAGGACTAGGAGAAAAGGAGGGAAACAGAAACCCAGAGACCCAAGGCAGAGAGCAAGCAGTGCCCAGACATCCTCAGAAAATCAGACTTGGACTCTGAAAGAACCAGAAGCAGACATTGCCGGTCATTTCTTTAGCCAGAACAGATTCTCTTCCCCCTTCCAAAAATAAAACATCAACAAAAACACTGGGCCAGAGATGTAGCTCAGTGGTAGAGCACTGTTGAGTTATGTGTGAAATGCTGGGTTCCATCCCCAGCACCCACCAAAACAAAACAAAAATCACCTTCATCTAAGAAAATGACACCTGCCACCAGCTACCAGGGTTCAGGCCAGACACCAGGGACCTGGGAGGCCTTTGCTTCCTCCCTCAAACCCACAGCCCAGGCCAAGAGCTGTTCTGTGTGATCACCTTCAAGACAGATCTACACCCCATCCTCCAGCGCAGCCATGACCCCCATGTGGTCGCCTCTGTTCTCTCCCAACTGACCCTTCAAGGCAGCCCCTCCCTAACTTCTACAAGGGCCCTTGCCCTCAGTCTCTTTCCCCACACCTCCGAGGCTACCAAGGGAAGCCTGTTAGGACGCCTGAGTCAGATCGCAAGTCAAAGCCTACCTTGAGGTCCTCTCAGCCCACACAGCCTGGCTCCCATATCCTCCCCTGCCAGTGCTCCTCCTGCTCTCTCACACTGGCTTCCTAGGTGCTGCCCTGGCTGACCTGTCTGCCTGGAACAGGCCTCTGTCGCCCCCTGGCTCACTCCCTCCTTCCGGTAGCTGGTGAAAAGAGATTGTCCCTGAGTAGTATACTGAGACCCACACAACCTGCCTTCAATTCCTCAACCTCTTTACTTTGCTCTGCTTTCTGCATGACGTTTATTGCCACCTAACATACAAATGTACTTAATTCTTCTCTTTTGTTTTTATGACAGTGTCGCACTAAGCAGTTTGGGCTGGCCTTGAACTATGGAGCCCAGTCTGGCCTCAAAGTCACTGCGATCCTCCTGCCTCAGCCTCTCAAGTGCTGAGATTACAGGCTTGCGCCGCCACCATGCCTGGCCATACTTCTTTTTTTTTTTTTTTTTGGTACCGGGGATCAAACTCGGGTCCTTGCGCTTGCACAGCAGGCGGTGAAACCACTGAGCTAAATCCCCGGCCCCTATACTTAATTATTATTATTATTTTTTTTTTTGGTCCCTCGGATACGAACTCAAATCCTTCCGCTTGCGCAGCAGGCGGCGAAACCACTGAGCCAAATCCCCGGCCCCACTTAATTCTTTTAAAAATTGTTTTAACATGTTTTCAGTGCATGGTTACGTTCATAATGGGAAGATGGTACATATACCTAACACATCTTAATTCTTTTTACTCCTCCTTCACATCGCTACGGAAGTCTTTCAAAATTTGTAAACTCAATTAGATGCTCAGAATATCTGAGATGTAATACTGCCCCCTGGTGTCCAGAACTGGAATGGCACCTTTCCACAATATAGAACACTCAATAGTGTTCGCCAAAGAAATCTGAGCCCGAAAATGTAGATGAAAATGTGAATTCCTCTAAGTGACATAGGTATTTTGGCTTACTTATAAACTGCGTAAGTTAATACATATAGATTTAAAAAGGTAAAACGTGCCGAATTAAACGAAGAAAAGCAGTGCTCCAGGTGAGGATCGAACTCACAACCTCGGCATCGCTCCGCCCGCACTGTTATATAAGTACCGCGCGCTAACCGATTGCGCCACTGGAGCTTCGACCGCACCCTCTGGCATTTAAATCCTTCAGTTACTCATAACCACGTGACCGCTGGACAGCTCTGCATGGATTGGCTATGCAAATAGAATCTTCCGGTTGACCAATAGGAGGAAGAGGATGACTAGTTCCGGATTCTCACGCCTCACAGGCCCTTGCTGTAAAAGGGAAAAGTCCTCGGGCCGCCTGGAATGTGGGGCAGTGGCCTGCCAGAGGACTCGCCTCCTCATGAATATTCAGAAACCAGGGAGGCGGGGTCTTAACCCTTTGTAGGCAGCCCGGCCGGAAAGCGGCCCCTCCCCGCCCCCCCGCGGGGAGGAACAGGATATGAGCCCCGGCGTCAAAGGGGGATGGGAAACCTCGGGCGACCGCCCCCCGCCCCAAAGCTGGGACCCGACTGTTCCGCCCCAGATGTGGCGCTGCCGTCACCAGGGCCTGGTACCACCCGCCCCGGAGGCTGAGGGATCGCTCAGACCCAGACGTCCGAGATTTCTGTATCGCGTCTTGAGAGACCTCGAAGTCCAGACCCCCGCGTCCGGGCTGAGGGACCTCAGGTGCCCAGCGCCCCCTCCTGGAGCAGGCATCAGCCCCGCGAGACCCGGGAGCCTGAGCGTCTCGTACCCGGGTCTGAAGAACTCAGGATCCAGAACCGTAATTCTCTCAAGAGCATTTCCCAGAAATCCGAGTCAAAGACCGTCGGGGTGGAGGAACTTAGGGTCCGGACCTCTAGCGCCTTAATTATAGTCTGTTTGGGGCTGCAGCGTCCCCCACTTCAAGGGGACCCAGGAGTTTGGGACGCCGTGCGCGCCCGCCTTGAGGAGATTTGATCCCTGAGACTAGAATTTGGGGAACTCCGGAACCCGTGCCCCTACGGCCCTACCTAGAAAACTCAGGAATTTGAGTCCCCAGCGCCCCCATCGGAGTCTGAAGAGTCGAAGCTCCCAGCATCCCCCACTTAGAACACCAGGAAATTCGGACTACTGGACCCCAACCCCAGAGACCCGGGATTCTGGCTCCTGGAGCCTGAGAGCTCGAAGTTCACGCCCCGGGGTCCCGGGGCCCGCGCCTCCCTCCTTGGGGACCGCGATCGGGCAGACCGGGAACCCGGCTCGGCGCCCGGCGCGGGCGGCTCCCCGGGAGGTGAGAAGAGGCGAGGGACGCGCGGGGGGAGGGGGCGGTGCCCCGGCGGAACAATGAGGGGGCGTGCCGGCGGGCGAGCGCGGCGCCGGCGGGATCCGGGACCCGGGCTGGTGAGGAGGCTCGAGGGAGGCCTCGGTGCTGGAGACGCCGGCCGTGAATCGGAGGAACCCGTGCAAGAGGGTGGAGGCCCAGGGCCGGTGCCCCAGCGCGCAGTCCTCGGCGGGGGAGGGAGCCGTCTGCAGGACCCTGGCATCCGGTCCCCCAGCCTCCGCCCTCCCCTGGGACCCCGCGGCCTCCCGCCCACAGTTTTTCCCAGCCCTGCCCCTCGCCCTCCGCCCCAGCCGGAGTGCAGACGTTCCCAGGATCCCTGAGCCTGGGGCCCGGGACGCAGGACTCTGGCTTCCGCGACTCCTGCTCTCCTCGCTCCTCTTTGTCTCAACCTTTTCATCTTCTTTTCTAGGTTCTTTACTCGTCCCCCTCTTTCTGTCACTTTACCTGTGTGTTCCCCCGCCCCATTAGTGGCTCCCGGGGGTCCTTCCCTGGATTTAGACTGGCCTCCTAATTCCCAGCACCCCTCTGTGAGTCTGGGCGGCAAGAAGGCCTGTGGGTCGTGTACCCGAGAAGGGGACTTTCTGCAGGTGGCAGCCGTGCCTCTCAGCCATGCCTGAGGGAGCCCGTGGACAGAGCTTGCCCAAGCCCAGCCTCGGGTGTGGCCACAGAGGCGAAGTCTGTGACTGCCCAGCTGTGTGTGGGACTCGGACAGGTGAGCCACCAGGGCAGGGATGGAGCCCTTGGGCATTTGGTCTTTTCCTCAAGGCACCCAGCAGCCCTCTGGTGCAGTGTGGTGCTGGCAACGCAGGGTGATAGCCCGGTCTCACCTGCAGAGAGCCCCAAACTGACCGGTTCCCAATCAGTGACCGTCCAGAGGGCATGTGAGGGGAAATACCCCAGGGCTGGGGAGCCAGGCCTGACAGGTCAGGCTTCACAGAGCTGGGCAAAGGCAAGGAAGAGTGTTTTGCATCCGTGCAACAGGGCATGCAAAGACCCAGAGCCACTGTTTAGGTAATTGAGAGAAGTTGAGTGTGACTGGAGTGTAAGGAGGTAAAATGAGATGGTGGAGGACAGCTGGCTGGAGAGACAAGCCATGGTGGTCACATGAACTCCTGGGGATGACAGAGTCAGATGGGCAGATTAATAAAGAGCTCCCTTGCTGCTGCAAGGAGGTGAATTAAAGGTTTGGAGTGCAGGGAGAGCCCTGACAGGAGAGTACAGGACTGGACCAAGGAGTACAGTAGGAAAGAGGTGGGAGCCCCTGGGAAGGTGGTTAGCCGGGTGTGGGAGTATGGGGTCAGGGGAAGGGGAAGGGGGAACTTGACCTCCTGCTCCACATCCCACAGTGCCCACCATGGCCTCCCCCCGAGGTTCTGGGAGCTCCACATCCCTGAGCACAGTGGGCTCTGAAGGGGACCCGGCCCCAGGGCCCAGCCCAGCCTCCTCAGCCTCCAGGCCAGAGCCCCTACCAGGGCCCCCTATCCGCCTGCATCTGTCACCCGTGGGGATCCCAGGTTCAGCAAAACCCTCGAGGCTAGAGCGTGTGGCCCGGGAGATCGTGGAGACAGAGCGGGCCTACGTCCGAGACCTCCGCAGCATCGTGGAGGTGAGGCAGGCAGGTGCTTGAGGGCAGAGGGGGCAGGCCAGGCCGGGCCCTGGTGACCCAGTCATCCCTGCAGGACTACCTGGGCCCTCTGCTGGATGGCGGTGTCCTGGGGCTGAGCATGGAGCAGGTGGGCACATTGTTTGCCAACATCGAGGACATCTACGAGTTCAGCAGGTTAGGGGCAGTCGGGACAGGAATGGGTGCTGGCCACTTGGGGCTCAGGAGGCTGTGTCCTAACCTAAACCTTGGAACCCCACTGGGCACAGTGATGCACACCTGTAATCCCAGCCCTCTGGGAAGCTGAGGAAGGATCACAAGTTCAAGCCCAGCCTGGACAACTTACTGACTTAATAAGGTCCTATCTCAAAATAAATTTTAAAAGGCTAGGGATGTGGCTCAGTGTGAAGGTTCTGGGTTCAATCCCACTACAAAAACAAACCTTGGAACCCTTTAGCGCCCTCTCCAGGCTGGTCCAAGGGGCATGGTGACCTCAAGCACAGGGATCATGGCTTGAGTAGAATGACAGGACTCTAAACTACAGATTGGGATGATGGGGCCTGGCAGCAGGATGGAGTCTCTGCTGCAGCAGGTCTGGGCTCATCATGAATCTGAGGGTCACATGGTACCCCCAGGTCATGACCATGTGAACATTTTTGTGACCACCTTGTCCTGATTTGCCCAGGACTTTCCAACTTTAGCACTGCTTGTCCCTCATCTGGGACACTGTTTGGTCTTGGACGAACCAGGAGGGTTGGTCACTGATGTGAAGGCTGTCAGGGATCGTGATGCTCCGAATGCCTCTAGGAAATCTTGGGATCCCAGCAGATCTCAAGATCATCCCTGGGGCGGGGCTGTGGTGCCCTTTGTGGGCTGGACTGGCCCCTGACCCGAGCTCACGCCAGCTGACAGGCTTGCAGGCTGAAGGATCACGAAGTTGTCCAAGGACACAGTCTTAACAGGTTTTGGTCTCCCATGTAGCCACCAGAGACCTTTGCTCAGGACATGACATCCCTTTAAGGAGCCTAGCGGTCACTGAGTCCCCAGCCCCACAGGCTGTTGGGACATCTCCCAGAGGCCTCCCCTCGGGATGTGGAGGCAGGGAAGGTGCTCATGCTCTGTCCCCCACAGTGAGCTCTTGGAGGACCTGGAGGGCAGCAGCAGCGCCGGGGGCATCGCTGAATGCTTTGTGCAGAGGGTGAGCAAACAGGCGGGCTGGGCTGGGCGGGGAGGGGCCTGGCTAGGGGATAGCAGGCCTGCTTTGCAAGGCTGAAGTGGGTGGGGCGGCCAGGACCTGGGGTCTCCCTGACTGCCATGTCCCCTGCAGAGCGAGGATTTTGACATCTACACGTTATACTGCATGAACTATCCGAGGTGAGGTGTGGGGTGCCTGCTGGGCCCCAGGCTGAGCCCCAAGATGGTGTGCCAGCCCTCCTTTCTCTGCCCTGCCACCTGCCCTGCGTCATCCCTGACACATCAGGATGACCTCTCCCTCACTCCCCCAACCCTTGCCAGACCCTGACTGCCCCCAAACCCTGGCCACTTGCGGACCCCTCCCATCCCTACCCTCTGGAGCTGCCAGCCCCTACTGACCTGTGCTGTGCCCCCAGCTCCCTGGCCCTGCTCCGGGAGCTGTCACTGTCCCCACCAGCAGCCCTGTGGCTGCAGGAGCGTCAGGCCCAGCTTCGTCACTCACTGCCCCTGCAGAGCTTCCTGCTGAAACCTGTTCAGCGCATCCTCAAGTATCATCTGCTACTGCAGGTCAGCTTCAGGCCCTGGAGGCCTGGCTGGGAGTGGGGTGGGTGGCATCCTACACCTCAGTCATTTGCTGTTGATTCAAGAGGGGGCTCAAGAGTCTCTGCTAAACTGTGCCCCTGGGGAGCCTTTTGGGCCAGTGGTAGTGTCAGGTCTTGCTGGCAAAAAGGGGACTGGCACCCCAGATCCCACAGTCTCTGCCCCTTCCTGCACATTCCTCTGTCTCCTGTCCCTCTCATTCTCTCTCTCTTTTCCTCTCTGCCCTATATATTCGGTGCTTCTGGCAGGAACTAGGCAAGCACTGGGCAGAAGGCCCAGGGGCTGGAGGCCGTGAGATGGTGGAGGAAGCCATTGTGTCCATGACAGCAGTTGCCTGGTACATCAATGACATGAAGCGCAAGCAGGAGCACGCAGCACGCCTCCAGGTGGCCCAGCGTGGGGTGGGAGGCAAGGCCAGCTGTGCGGGGCCCTGAGGAGGACGGGGCAGTGCTTCAAGGCCTGGGATGTCCCTGTTGCCAACCCCCATCTTGTCCTGTTTGTGTGTGCCACCCGCCCGTGCTCATCTCTGCATCTGGTGGGGTCCCTACAGGAGGTGCAGCGGCAGCTGGGAGGTTGGACTGGCCCGGAGCTCAGTGCTTTTGGGGAGCTGGTGCTGGAGGGTGCATTTCGAGGTGGCGGAGGGGGCGGCCCCCGGCTTCGAGGGGGTGAGCGGCTGCTCTTCCTGTTCTCACGGATGCTGCTCGTGGCCAAGCGCCGGGGGCCCGAATACATGTACAAGGGCCATATCTTTGTGAGTTTGGGGATGGGACGGGGCTAGACTGTTACCTACAAGGTGCATTCTTACCCTTACAGTGCCTAAAGGGATGGACCAGGGACAACCTGGATTGAAAGGGTCACAATTTCTTGAGTTCAAGAATAGGGGTAAAGGGCCAGGGATGTAGCTCAGTGGCACCTCACCTGCCTCAAAAGCACAAGGTCCTGAGTACCATGGGGAAAAAAAAAGAAAATAGGGTTAAGCCTGGGTATGGTATTGAATATCTGTAATCCCAGCAGTTGAGAGGCTGAGGCAGGAGGATCACCATGAGTTCAAGGCCAGCCTGGGCTACATAGTGAGACCTTGTCTTAAGGAAAGAAGGGCTGGGGATTTAGCTCAGTGGTTCTGCTGCCTGCCCCGCAAGTGCAAAGACTCAAGTTTGATCCCTGGTACCAAAAAAAAAAAAGAAAGAAAGAAAAGAAAGCCAGGGATTTAGCTCAGTGGTGCCACCGCCTGCCTGGAAAGCACAAGGTCCTGAGTTCAATGCCCGGGTTTTGTTTTTGTGGGGTTTTTTGGTACTGGGGATCAAACTCAGGTCCTTGCGCTTGCGCAGCAGGCATCGAAACCACTGAGCTAAATCCCTGGCCCCTATCCCCAGTTTTTTTTAAAGAAAAAAAAGAAAGGAAAGAACAGGGATTAAGGCTCTGTGTGGTAATGACACCTGTAATCCCAGCAGTCTGGGAGGCTGAGGTAGGAGGATGAGGAATTGTGTCCAGTCTGGGGAATTTACTTAGACCTTGTTTAAAAAGGGGGGATTTATGTTCAGTGGTTCCGTTGCCTGCCTCAAAAGCAAAAGATTGCGAGTTTGATTCCTGGTACCAAAAAACAAAAAAAGGGGGGTGGGGCAAGATGCTGGAGATATCGATCAGTGGGATAAGTGCTTGCCTAGCATGTGTGAGGCTCTGGGCTCAATCCCCAGCACTGCAAAGAAAAAGTAAAGAAATAAGGGGTGGGGTTGAGGCCTGCAGGGAAGAGCTGGATGTGCCCACTAAGCAGTGTCTTCTTCATGGGGAGCAGCGGGGCCCCTCTTCGTGAGGGAGGAGGGGTGTGGTGAGGGAGAAGCGGAGCCCAGCTGGTGGGGAGCAGTCTCACAGTGTGCGTCTTAGTGGGCAGGGACCTGGATGCACCTCATGGCTGAGCCTTGAGCTTGCTGTCCCCCCATCCTCTCCCTCAGTGCTGCAACCTGAGTGTGAGTGAGAGTCCTCGCGACCCTCTAGGGTTCAAGGTGTCCGATCTGACCATTCCCAAGCACAGGCACCTGCTTCAGGTGAGCACAGGTGGGTCTGGCCTGGCAGATGCCCCCACCCTGGACCTGCTCCTGGCTCACTGACTGCACCCACCCCACTCACCTCCAGGCCAAGAACCAAGAAGAGAAGAGGCTGTGGGTTCACTGTCTCCAGCGCCTCTTCTTTGAGAACCATCCTGCCTCCATCCCAGCCAAGGTACAGCCCTACCACGGGGGGGGGG